TCAGGTTGAAAAGGCAATTTTGAAGCTAGCTAGTTTCCTTCAGAAACTTTAAAAGGTCTGTCCTTTCCCTGTTTCACTGATCTTTAACGGCTTTCAAACTCAGGAAAGAGAGGAAAATTAACCATTGTTTGTAATCCATTTTTTTCCAGGAAAGAGAGGAAAATTAACCACTGTTTGCAATCCATTTTTCTTGGTATATGCCTGTTCAAGGACAGACGTGTTGGTCACATAATCCGTCCAGTGGATGTTTAGGATTGTACGGAGGCAGCACTGATGGAAGCGTTCTAAGAGACGCAAGTGGTGCCGGTAAGTGACCCATGATTCGGATCCATATAAAAGAGTAGATAGTACAATGGCTCTGTAAATGCTGATCTTTGTACTTTAAGGAAACATCTAAAAAACATCTAAAAGCAGACCAACATATGCTAACAGAAAGGAAAATCCATACCACCATTTTCTGCTCTGAGATCCTTCCCACCAAGGGAGGCTGGTGAAAGCTTGGTGGTGAATCTGAAAGGAAGGTCTATGATTTTAGACAAGTAGACCTTAACCGGGAAAGTTTATTGCTTTATTTGCCTGGCCATGCTTTAAGCTTCTCTAGGTCTTCCTCTCCTCTCCTCTTTCTCCTTTCTGTCACTACCATGCCTTGTAAAGAACATTTTGACTGTGGCCCACACAACAAGCTCATTCTTTGTCAGCTTGTGCTATCATCAGCACTTCCACAGCTTACAAGACAAGCCAAAACAACCTCTAAGGGACAAGTAAAGGACTCAAACTTCTGATCACTGACAGAGACACCAACTATTTGTCTCATATTAGAAAAGCTTGACATCAAAGCAACTTCCATTATCCTAGAAGCCAAGGCCAATCACACCTTTCAAGTAAGAAATAAAGCTACTATATTGTTATTAATAAGAAATATATTTCTTACCATTCCTGTAAAAAATAAATATTGCAAGGTAACAAAAAACTATGTATACTTCATCTTCCATATACAGGGGAAAACACCCAGCTTTTGTCTGTCATGAATTTCCTGTAGGACTAATTTTGACTCAGGCTTTGAGTTCCAGAATAAGGTCATAAAATTATTAACTTCTGCCCAGAGTAGCTCATGAACTAAGGCAAACAGATTCCCTCTCCCAGGAAAAATGCACTGTCATTTAAAATACTCCTACTCCAACATAGCAACAATTCAACACTGAGCTTTATGAGCTCATTGGGCACATTTGAGTTATAAGCAACATTTTATCTGGATTTCCCTTGGCTTTGTTCTCATTAGACAGGAAAAAACCTCTCACGTGCCATGTACTCTTTGTGATGTTCACAAGTTTGCCATTAAGGCCTAAGATGAACTGAAAGCCTCCCTCAAGACAGTCTTAGATTAATTAAACCCCAAGAAAGATAAGACACAAACTGGGATTCCATACCCCACTATGCCTAGCCCTAAATCTAACCACTTCACCAAAGTATCTCACTGAGAACTACAAGTACGAACTCTTAAAACTGTAAGTTTGGGTGCCCCAAACTCACAGGGAGGAGCCTATTCTCAAATTCCTAACCCCTAATCCACCCAACCATCCCTCACCAAGACAGACTCTACACTGCCATCACCAGCTCACTCTTCTTAGACCATAATGGTGAAAATAAGAGCCTCCACTTAGTACAGACAGTAGAAAAACCTTTGCCACAGAAGAGTTTTGTGTCATTAGGGAGAGGTGAAACAGTAAGGAAAACCCCAAGCAATAAAGAGCAAAGATAAAACACCTGTACCTCTTGCATCATGATTAACAACAAAGTAAAATGACTTTAATCTTGCATCTCGAAACCTCAAAGAGCTATTTACAAGCAGCTATCCCTGAGTGAACTCATCTCTATCGCAAAAGAATGGAATGAGCAGGTGAAAAGCAGATCAGTCTGGGTGATAGATGGTCAGTCACCTGTGAAATAAATCTAAGTTCTCCCTTAATTTTCCTCCACAGACATTCAATCTAGCCCCCATGTAACTCAAGTTACACACACCTGTAACTCCCTGTCAGGCCAGCAGCCGGGAGATAGGAATGTGCTCAGGAAGTTTTTGAAAACAAATGTTGAACTGCATGCACATCTCTAAGAAGAAAAGGCAAACACCAGTGTGTGAAGAGCTGTTTTTTCCCCCCTCACCCTGCCCTGGTTAGCATTAGACACAGGATTCCTATCTGCACTGTTTTTCAGCTGGTGTTTTAAAATGTACTGGAGGAGAATGGGACAGTTTAATTCCTCAGCCTGTATACTAGGAGATGCTACTGCTGTCCCAGTTTAATCTGTTGCCTCACAAGGTTGTTAAAATATTATTCGGAGCCCTTGTCTTTCAGCAATTAATAACTTCAGCTTATTTACATGCTGAGTTATATGTGAATTTGATTTTGAAGTAACTGGTTTTAAGGCAAACAAGCCTATGAACTAAAAGAAAGGTTTTGCTTAAAATTAAGCAGTGCTTTTATTTTTTTCCAATTTATGGTGGTGTCTGATAAAAAAAATAACTGATTTATTAAGTACAGGTGCAAGTTTGCTGAAGTTTCTTTTGTATCGGTCGTTGTGGGTGGAGTGTTACAAGCTCATGTATGGTGCTTCTATTAACTTGCCTGGGAATTTCAAGGAAAAGAGGTCTCTCCATTTCTTCCTTCTCTTCTGCTTCTCTTTATGCAAAAGTTGACAGATCCACCCTCAGCCTGAGACATGTTTGTTCTTTGCTCTACAGCTCCTTTGCTCTTATGTCCAGCGAGATGGGCAAGACTAATGCATTACTTCTTTTTTGTGCCTGCATTCTGGGACTGGATGATTTTAACTGTAAAAATACAGAATTAACACTTCATTTGCCTATATTTTATAGCATTTCCCCCCAAAGCTTCTATTAGAAGTCACTACCTAACACAAATTTAGTGTAATCATGGGATACAACCAATGGGGTACTGCACAGGAAATAAATGTTGTGTTAATTTGACCTAATGTGAACAAGACTCTAGTGGAAATGGGATACATGATTAAGTAACAGTAGCGATAATTTTGCTTACGGAAAGTTATTTACCACGGATAATAAAAATGTTTCCTTAAAGTACATTTGCCATAGCTCACAAAAACCTTTTCAGAAGCACACTCTTTGCCTCTTGTGGAGTGAAAGCTGTTTGGGGTGTAAAACCTCTCCAGTGTGTGGACAGAGAACATACTGCACTGTCTGTACATAACTCTTTTCTGCTGGGGAAGCTCCCTAATATTAGAAGGAAATACTTTGAGAGTGCTTTTACGTTTCTAATATTTCAGAAAAATCTTAACCAGTGTTTTTTTAGGTCTGAAAAGCTTTTTAAAAAAGCTTCTGTTATTTTGTATACAAAAATGTAAGCAATAACAATTATGAGAAAAATATGTCATGCCCCATCATGGGAATGGGAATACCTTTTGAAGGAAAAATGGAAGTTGCCAAACTGGATTGGTCCTCCAGCTGCCTTTTTTTTTTTGGGACGATATGAGTAGTTGTCATATTCCCATTATGTCACCATACCATCCATCTTTCTCATCAGGACACCATCCACTGATGTAGCCAAATGTTTCAGGTAATTTTCCTTTTGTACCTTGAGGGAGTTTGTTCCTCTGCATCTGCATAGGGAAAGACACAGCCCCTTTGTGGTCACAGGCAGAGTGTCCTTTCCACTTTTGCATATCAAATTGCAGATGCTCGGTGGAGCAGGTTCTTTACAGGCTGATGGTTACTGCATACTGTTGGCTCTACGTGCTCACAAGGAACAGCTCACCTCGCTGTTGGAAAAGCACATTTTTCCACTGCAACCATTTCTTGCTTTGCTTGCCCTCTCCATAAAGGATTGCAAGAGGGCAATGGTTCAGGGAGCCCATGTACTCTTCAGTTCCTTCCTCGCCCTCAGCTGAAGAAAGGAAACCCATGCAGCTTTAAAAAGGCACTGAAAGAGAGTAGGTTTACATTAGGTATTAGGGAAAAAGTTCTTTACAGTGACAAGTGGTGAGGCACTGGAAAAGGCTGCCCAGAGAACTTGTGGATGCCTCGTCCCTGGAAGTGTTCAAGGCCGAGGTGAATAGAGCTCTGAGCAACTTGGTTTAGTGAAAGGTGTCCCTGCCTGTGGCAGGGGGATTGGAACTAGATAATCTTTAAGGTCCCTTCCAACCCAAACCATTCCGTGATTCCACGATTCCATAACGGCAGTTGCTCACTGTGGAAGGCATGGGGCGCTGCTGGGCCGTGGGACCGCTGAGAAGGGAAAGGAGGAGGGACTTGAGCGCAATCACTACGAGGAGAGGCTGAGGGAGCTGGGGTTGTTTAGTCCGGAGAAGAGGAGGCTCAGGGGTGACCTCATCACTCCCTACAACTCCCTGAGAGGAGGTTGTAACCAGGTGGGGGTCGGTCTCTTCTCCCAGGCAATCAGCAGTAGGACAAGAGGGCACGGGCTTAAGTTCTGCCAGGGGAGGTTTAGGTTGGATATTAGGAAGAAATTCTTTACAGAGAGGGTAATCAGTCATTAGAATGGGCTGCCCAGGGAAGTGGTGGATTCTCCGTCCCTGGAGGTTTTTTAAGATGAGATTGGATGTGGCACTTAGTGCTATAGTCTAGTAACCGCGGCGGTAGTGGATCAAAGGTTGGACTTGATCTCAGAGGTCCATTCTAACCCGGCTGATTCTATTATTCTGTGAACGGCCGCGCGCTCCGGCGGCTACGCAGCAGCAGCAGCAGCGACTCTCCCGATCGGTTTTCCACTCGTGCTCGATCTTCCACTCGCTTTCCCTCTCGTTCTCGCACTCTCTCCCATCCCATCCTCTCCTTTCCTCTTCTCTTCAATCCCCTCCGCTCCCCTCCCTCTCTCCGCCTTTCCCTCCCTCTCCTGGCCCGGCTCATCCCGCCGCCCGTACCCGGCCCGCCGCGCTCTCGCCTCCGCCGGGTTCTCGCCCTCCCGGCTGTGGCGCTGCTGGGCGGGCCGCTCCGCCCGGGGCTGGTGCAGCACCACCGTCTTTTGGCTCCGCCTGGCCTGGGTCCTGGCCCGGCCCCGGCTGCGGCTCCTCCCAGAGTCCTCCCGCGGCCCCGCCCCGGTCGGTCCGGCCAGCCCCGCTGCGGCCGCCTCCTTTGCTCGGCAGCTCGGCCGCCGGCCCCGAACCGCCTGTGCGCAGTGCAGCAGATCGGGAAGCAGAGTCCGGGGAGGTTGGGGGCCCCGGGAGAGCCCGGTGTCGCCCGCACGGCCGGAGAAGCATCCCTGGAGCAGCTTTACGGGAGGGGCCGCTGCAGGGAGCGGCGGCTGCGGCAGCGTTTACTCGGGGACGCCTCGCTGTCGGCGCCCCGGCAAGAGGCGGGACGGGTCGGAGGAGGGCAGCGGGCGGCGAGCTCAGCCTGGCGCTCCTTGGCTTGCAGGTGCCCATCAAACGCGTGTCTCGGGATCGCATCTGGGAGTGGGTCAGGTTGGTGAGTGAGCGGGGCCAGAGGGAGAAGCCAGGGCGTGCCAGGCAGGGATGCAGCGAGGCCCGGGAGGGTGGAGGCCGAGACGCTGCTGGGGGAGCGGGCGGGGGATCATCTGGAGCCGCGCAGTAGTCCGAGCCGGGGAATGTCCAGCAGCGGTGGAGCCGGGCAGGAGGCCAGGGGGGCATTGTCTGGGCGGGGGATAGCGGACCCCGGCGAGGTATTAGCCTTGCTGACTGTATTGTGGTCCCCTCCGCAGCCCGAGGGCGCCTCTGTGCCCCTGGAGCTGGTGATGCTCTTCAGGATGTCCTCCGGTGGCTTCCGCGGCATCGTGCAGCTCCTGGACTGGTTCGAGCTCCCCGACAGCTTCGCGCTGGTGATGGAGCGCCCGGAGCGCTCTCAGGACCTCTGGGAATTCGGGGACGAGCAGGAGTTCCTGACGGAGGAGGTGGTGCGGGGACTGTTCCCCCAGGTGCTGGCGGCTGTGCGGCACTGCACCAGCCGCGGCGTCCTGCACCGCAACATCAAGGGCAAGAACATCATCCCAGACGTGGCCACCGGCGAGGCGAAGCTGATCGACTTCGGTTGCGCCACGTTCCTAAAGGACATGATCTACACTGGGTGGGCAGGCGAGGCCAATGCAGGGGCAGCAGATAAAGGCACTCACATGTGGGTGTTTTCCATGCATGTATATTGTGGTCAGGCCTTCCTGGGGCCCCCACTGCCCTCTTCCAGCACTGGGGGCCTTCTCTTAAAACCCAAAGTTTGGAAAGAAGTTGGGTGCTGACAAGAAGGCAGCAGGTCACATTAGTGCAAGCCCTGCATTCCCAGGGATGTCTGGGTGAGGGTCTGGGAGTGGGCAGCATCCACCTGATGAGCACCTGATGTCCCGTAGGAACATGAGAGTACAGCCCAACAGAATGGATCCTCTTGCACTGCTGTCGTGGCCATTCAGCAACAATCTGGTCCCTGGGCATCCTGCTCCATGAGGTGGTCTGTGGGGACCTTCCTTTCTATGATGATGAGGACATTGTCCGGGGCCAGCTTTTCTTCCCATCCACGTGTCTCATGGCATTAAGAAGCCAAGAAAAGCAGTCTGTTTCCCTGAGACCGTAGCAGAGTAAGGAGCACAGCTGATGAGATGCTTCCGTTGGTGCTGGGGGAAATTGAGGAAGTGGCTGAACGCTCTCCATCGTATTTGAGAAGTCTTGGCAGTCTGGTGAAGTTCCCACAGACTGGAAAAGGGGAAACATCCTGCCTGCACCTTAATGGCATTGTGGTCCTCCTACAAACTGGGGCACAACTGTGGTGTCCTGGAACATGATACCAAGCTGGAGAACAACACCCTGGGATATGGGCACTGGTGGGGCAAAGCTGATTGCCTTTGGTTGCAGCGCCTTCCTTGAGGACATAACTCTGAACCCAGATGAAAAAAGATGAGTCCACACCCGGTGGGGGCTGAGGGGATGCTCCCGGTCTGAGGCATTGAGGGCTCAGCCTGGCTGGGCACCAGAGGTTCCCTGCTTTGCTGGGGTTGAAGAGGGTGGGATAAATTTTTCAGCTGGCTGGCAAGTAGCTTTTTGGTGGGGGAGAGGGTGGATGTTATGAAATGGGAACCAAGCCGGCTCCTGGCCTTGCTGACAGCCTGCGCCAGCCACCCTGGCCCGGGCTGGGGAAACCAGCCCGACAAAAACATGGCAGGGGGTCAGAGGACAGAGTTCTGCACCCATGTGGTGGTCGTTTTTGTTTGCAGGCCCTTTATGAAGGGCTGGGGCTGGGAAAGTTGGGGGCGTTTCCCTGCCTGTGGGGAGGTTTATTCCTTGCGTGGAAGTAGTCAAACCTTCCCCAGGCCTGTGATACAATGATAAGATTTTACGTTAGTCTCGTTTCCAGGTTTTGGTTTTAATTTACTTTCATGCAATTGTTATTTGTCTTTTTAAAGAAAAATCTACCATGTGCCTGGACCAGACTGGGAAGTGCTGGGACTGCGACGTGGATTCACTGCCAGTGCTACCCTGGCCGTGACCCTTCAAGACAGACAAGGACATCATCTGGGATCAGCTTTTCTTTCAGCAATGGGTCTTTTGAGGTGGGTACCCAGCTTTATGGCATGGGTGGCAGAACGGGTTTTGGAAGATGGCAGCAGGCACACAAGCATTCTTCTCTTGCAGAATCAGCTGAGGAGGTTGATCTCCCCTGGTAAGCTGGAGAAGGTAGGTGGCACATGTCCTGCCATCCTGCTCTCCTCCAAAACAGAGAAGGGACTGGGAGGCTTGGGCTCTGAGCACACCCAGTGGCATGGCCTGGGACTGTGGATGGTGGGACAGGGTGGACAGGAGCCTTCTCCCACTGTCTGTGGGGTTCTGGTTTCTCTCCACAGTGGCCCAGCACCTCATCACATTGAAACAGCATCATCGGCCTGCAAATTTTGGGGGGCAGGGGATGTTTATTTGATGTCAAAAATAAATATTTTTTTTTGGTACTCAGAGTGTTTCATCCTTTTCCAAGCTTTTGGTCCCCTGGGTAATCTTTTTGCATCCTTATTCACCTGCTTTCTTGCCGTTGGGAGGGGTTTAAGCAACCCGAAAAATTAAACAACAGCTCCTGTTTGAAACTGCAGCAGCCACTTGAGTGACCGGGAACTGCCATCCAGGCACTTGTGCATTTAAGAGGCGAGTGGCTTGGAGGGATGGAGTTCTTGCCCCACTGCTAAAGCTGCGAGGAAATCAGAAGCAGCAAAATGCCATTTCAGCTCAAGCCTTGCCCAAATTGTTTCATCTTCCCCCCCCCCCCCAAAGAATGGGCAGGCAGAGCTGGGCTCCTGCAAGGTTTGAGTACTTTGTGCTCCCTGGCTCCCTGTGCTTCCTGATTGGAATATGGCTAGTGAAGGAGGGAAGGGAATCTTGGAAGATAGGAGAGTCTCTTCTCCCCTCCCCTTTCTCTCCTCAAGAGCCCCTCTGAAAGGTACCTGCCAACACTGGGTTTACATCTGACCCCTTCCCACTCATGCCTTCAGTGGTGGGGATGGATTTTGTGGAACAGGATCTGGCTGGGCCTGGTGCTGGGGGAGCCAGCTCAACGAAAACAAACACCTGTGCAGGGTAGCAGAGAGGGAGATTGGTGCCAATTCCTCAAGCTTTCCTTCAAAACTACTTTTTACTATTTTTACTATTTCAGCACTTTCTGTGGGTCCCTTTGGGTGAGTAACTGTCACAAACCCTCTTCCTCAAAGCCTTCAGGTGCTACCAAAGCAGAACTTTTTCATGTTCTTTTCTCCTTGTGATTTTATAATCCTGTCAAGACTCTGAAAGCAAACTGATGCTGCAGGCAAAAGGTGGACACTGGAGTCATACAGCAATTTCAGTACGTGTTTGTACCTGCTGATCGCAGCCTTCGGGTGAGCACAGCGAGGCCAAGCCCTGGCGCCCTCGAGATGGCGCCAGGAAACCGCCAGGGCGGGAAAGGGAGTGATGGGAGGGAAAGGGTGGATTTCCCTGGAGCTGCGGGAAAAAATGGTCTCCGGGGCGACGTGAGGGCAGAGAGCCACTGGGGGTCTCTGGGATGCGAGTGGCAAATCCCTTGCTGGCTCCCGGAGCTGGTTTCAGGGCAGTGAGCTGGCAGAGGTGCTGGGCTCTGCTGTGGGAGCTCGTCCTCTGCTCCTGTGAGCCCATTGTACGAAATTAACCCAGATGCGAGTGTGACACCCATGCCCCTATCTCTGTCAGCCTTCAGGCTCTCAGAACATTACCTTTATTCCTCTCTTGGCCTTCTGGGTAACAACGTGCTGAGATATTTTTTTTTGTCTTCTTTGGCTTGCCCCAGAGCAGCAGTGTTACAGAAAGGACCCTGGCTGTCAATGCCGAGATCAGATCCACAGCTTTGTTAACTCTGCAAAAAACACTGTTAGCAAGAGCAGCTCAACAGACAAGGGCTGGCTGGAAGAAGGGACTGCCCCTGCTGTGCACTGCCAAGGAACGGGAAAGGCTATTTGGCATCTCGCCTAGTAACAAAATATGTGGGTGTTCCATGGAGAGGGTCTGTGGCCAGCAAAGGGAGGCATGGCCTTTTCTCTCTGGTTAGGTTGAATTCAGGCAAAAGGCCCAGCAGCTGCAAGAGAGCTTAGCAGCACAGTTCCCTTAAGACATCTGCTTTCCTGAACAACTAGCTTACCCCAGAACCTTCTTACTACTATTCCACCTCTTCCAACTCTGCCATGGGGCCACTCTCATTCCTGGGAGTGTAGAAGTCTGAGGCACAGAAAAGTAAAATGACATCCCCAAAGTCCTATAGGTAGGAAAAGAAATTTAATTGAGTCTTCTGCATGCCAGGTGCAGTATAAGCAGTAAAAAGCATTGGGTCTCTACTTTCCCAGCCTCAAGATAGCGAAAAGCCAAAGTAAGCTTTGTCACTGGAAACATAGGGAGTCCAACAGCTATAGAGAAATAGAAGCAAGATTAAGAATGATCTGCCACAGCAGATTTTATTACCAATGTTTGTAGGCTACTAATTTTTTCACAGCTGTGACTATTTCCACCACAAAAAGGTGGTTATGTCCCCAAATTCTTCTATCCAGGACAAAACAGGGCTGGGCTCATTGCCATGAAAAATATGCTTCACCTCTAGACTCAGCCAGAAGACAATTCTCTGTCCAGAATTGTTTGTTTTCAATGTGAAAAAGGGTCATCTCTTCCTGCTTAGAAACAGAAACTTGTTGCTGAAATAAATTTCTGTGGCTTTAACTGGCTAAAGAGACAGCCCTTGTATATAATTGTGTTAGGCCGGAAATGGCTTGTTTTTACCAGTAAATTCTCAGTAAATAAATCAGGGTAGCTGCAGTATCGAGACACAAAGTGAGGAGATGGATACCTTGCTTTTCTGTCTAGACCTTTCTGTGACTTGCCAGAGGGTTGCAAGAGCTAAGAGTGGCATTGGAACCTTTGCAGAAGCAGCTGCTGGAGGTAGCAGGAGAAGTGGGTAATGCAGTGTCTGTCCCTGCATTACAGCTGAAGTGTTATCTATGTGGTATGCACAGAGTGAAACACAGTCTTCCTCACTTCTTAGCGGACCAGACACCCTGCAGAGGATGTGTTCCTGGCACTTACAAATGATACGTGCCACCTGGAAAGAAATTTTTTCTCATGTGCTGTACTCTGGAACAGCTGTGCACTTTCCACACAAAGCTGTTTCTCATGTTCCCCACATGCATCCTGTTTTTACTCCTTTTCACTTGTGCAAGGTGTGCACAAAGCAAGGAGATTAGTAGTTGAACTATCCATATCAGCTAATGTTAATTTATTGTTCCCAATAATTGTTCTCTGTTTGGATCACACAGGAAAAAGTGTAGAGCAGTAGGACCTCAGAATTTACATGAAACATGCAGCTTACTGACACTGAAATGCTAGTTCTTCAACTTTGACTTGTTTTGCAGGGGCAGTTTTCTGGTATTAACTCATTTCCTGTGAGCAACTGTTTAGAGAAAAGGAGCAAAGCAAATCAGCAATTTGGATCACAAGATGATTCACCCTGATCATCAAACTCCTTTGCCTTTCTCTGAAAGTTCAGAGAACTGAGAAAGTCACAGACTCCTTAGGTAATGGAGGGCCCAACACCTATGATGCAAAGCCAATCCATCACATGTATTTCCTTCAATGAAAATACGAATCCAGAGATCACTGAAGAAACTAGTTTTGGTCAAGGACAACAAATATATTTCAAGCATGATTACAAGTAAACAAAATCCAATTACAGACTTAACATTAGACTGGGGAAACAAAAGCAAGCCCATTTGCCCTTTGCAACAAACTACAGCTGGTAAAGTTGACTCTGGATCACTTTTGATCAAGCTGCAAAGGCAATCTGACAAATAACCCATACATCACTCATGGCCACATAAAGGTTTCAGCAAGAATTCAACAACTCTGCTTTTCTAAATGAAGCAATTGCCCCCCAGTTTGTCCCACAATCCCACAGATATCCGTCTCCTTCACTGATTGGTGAAGATCAGCTCTTAAGACTTGTAGGCCTGGGGTCCTTCACTAGCTGTCTCCTTCCGAGCATTTCAAGCACTGAGGAAACCAGTGCTAGTTCTGTGGGCTGAATCCCTCCCTGAATCACAAGCCTGAGAAGGGGGCGTGAGACTGTGGCATGCAAAGTAGAAAGCACTGTCAGCACACAGTGTGCTGTTGTTTGTGAAAGTGCAAAGCTCAACTCAGGCATGCAGTGAAAAGGAAACTGCCACATTTAGCAGAGGTCATGAGTAAAAAGAAGAAATGGGAACTCCTCTGGATGGAAAATTTAATCTCTGGAAAGAAAATTTAAAATTTAAATTTTAATTTAAGCTTTCTGTGAGTAGCCTACTCAGTGAAGCCCAGTATCCTCCTTTTCATAAGTGCTAGTTCCAAGCCCTCCCTAGTTCTGTTTCTACCAGGCTCAGGGTGCTCTTATATGAGCTGAGCATGGGCTGTTAGCTCCGAGAGCCAACACTGGTTCACTTGCAGAAGTGCAGTTTTACCAGACTGAGGCTGCCCAGCACAAGCTGTGTCCACTGCAGAACACCATACTGGGCAGCACAACTGCACCATGCGCTCTCTTTGAATACCCTGAGGGGGCCTCTGAGCAGATGGACATCCCAAGCACCACATCTGAGCTGTGGAAATGAGGCTTGGATGGAAAGGAACTCAAAGATCATCTAGTTACAATCTCCCTGCCATTGACCAAAACACCTTTCACTAGACCAGACTGCTTCAAGACCCATCCAGCTTGCCCTTCAACACTTTAAAGGATGGGGCATCTACAGCTCCCCACTGGCACCATAGCTACGTATTTATCTGGGTTCTGCAGCTGCCTGGTCAGACTGTAACCTCCCTGGCAGACATGGTCCCCAAGTCCTGGCAAGGTGGATGCAGGTGAGGGAGTGTGCCTATCTCGTTTTCCCTCAGCAGAGGAATTGGATGACAAATGTCTCAATGCACCAAAGCACAGTGCTCCTCACACACCTAGTGCTTGTAAAACAGTTCAGGTGAATTAAAACATGTGTCTCTCACCACTGGGTCACACTTTAGCATGGAAATTGCAGGTCAACAAGGCAAGAAAATTCTATGTCCATAATATATGGAACGCTTTCTTGACTAAGTGTAATCTTGTTCAAAAGTATTTTTTCTTCCTTCACACTGTATTTCAGACTGCATGGAGACAACTTGTTTAAACAAGGGAGTCTACCTTTTCTGTCAAAAACATTAACTTTTGTCTGCTTCCTACTTGAAAATCCCACTTAATGAAGTGGGTTGTGTTTTTTGTTTTCATTTGCAATGGCAATAAAGTAGTGTCTGTCTCCTATCCTGTCAACTCTATTCAAACCGTCTGATCTTCCACTTCCCAGAAAGTCCACAGGGTGTCTACTTACCTTACATAAAATCATTGCAGTCAGAAGGATGGGATATTTAACAAAGCATAGTATTCCCTACTGTACTACCCAGTCCCTAGAGACATTTAAAATATGTATATTTTTTACAGCAAATTCAGCTAGTGTCCTTGAAGGAACTCTGGGATCTAAGACAACACACCCATGTCTGCTGGCCAAAAAACCTGACCACTCCTTTCCCAGTCCCACCTGCCTTTCCTGCTTCCAGTTAGGAGCACAAATTGTCTTTCCAGTACGGACTCCCACTGGAAGCAGCAGTGTTGCTCATATTAAATTCAGGAATAAGTCACCCTTGTAAAACTAGGGCAAAAATTGGCAATTCTGCCAGTGCTCAGGGGGTTGGCAGGCTAAAACAAAGAGCTCTGTGAAACTAAGCAGACTGTCATCTGAGAAAGACAGGCAGAACTGCAAGGTTTGATGGAGTGGCCACAGCCACAGCACTGAAATGGTGGTTAGCAGCCTCTTGGCTTAGGGAGATTAAGATGGAGAAGTTCTGCCGGAGCCCTTGTGGCGCACACTCCCAGGATCAGCACTGTGCATGCTATGCTGGTGTACACCTTGAGCTTTTGCATCAGGGAGAGGGAAGGGAGCCTCTGCCATGCCTCTCTGATACACTCTTGGTCCCTCCAATCACCATGAACCCATCAGCCCGTTTAAGCCTAATTTAGGAGTGGCAGAAATACCAAACACATTCGGCACCTACAGGTTTTTCCATGACCTTCAGTGGCGTAGTAGAGGACTGAAGATCTACCAGCAAGTTCTTCTGAACAGCCCAAAGATGGAGTGCTTCAACTGAAATGTGTTCATGATAAAACAAGTCCAGAAATAAAACACTGACTTTATTAGCTGCAATTCTGAAAGCATATGAAAGACAAAGGCTTTCCTTCCATGCTATTCTGAGGCTGCCAGTCTGGAATGCTAGTATTGCTTTCCAAAAGGCATCTAGGAGGCACTTTTATTTTGTGGACTGTGCAGTTTGTGGGTACCCACATGGCACTTAACTCTTTGGAAAATCAGCATGGCAGTATGTAGAAGAGGCAGACATGGTAGGGCCCACTTGAAACAGTAAGAATTGTCATAACTTCCGACAGGAGAATGAACCTACCTCAGCCTGTCTTAGTTGGAGCAAAGAAGATTACAAGCCGTTTTGGAGTGGGCTAAAATAACTATTTCTTGATCAGAAATCACAAAGCCTGGCAAACCACAATGAACTCTCCAGCACAACTCCTTCAGCTTCAAACTTCTCCTGAGCGCTTCGGGATTTCATTTCCCAATGCTTCTCTCACATATAGAAAACAAACAGCACCCCTTTTCATAGCAACTTCAAGAAACAAAGACATTTGCACAAATCACAGACTGGAAACAAAGATCTACCATTTGCAGACCACCACTCCTAATATGCAGAAGTGAACCACAATGGACAACACTGAGACATCATTACCGAGGAGGAAGAGGACACTTATTTTATAAGCTTGGTTGGCGATCTCGATTTCTCAAGGTAGAATAAAAACATGTGGGACCAAGTCTCTCCCACGTAACTGGCATTAAGGACATGTCAGAAGTCCAGTAGTAGGCTTTGCAAGGGCAAGTGCTCGTGCTGGGTTTACCTAGGTGCAACATGAAGGGCCACAGGCTCACCATCTCTGGCAAATCCCAGGAAACATGGTGGTAGGAACAAATCCATATGAGGAAAGGCAAAGGAGGTATTAGAATAACTGGGTAAAGTCAAGGAAGAATTACCAGACTAGCCACATCCTTCTCATTTCCCTAATAATGCATATGAAACATCTTCTAGAATATGCTGCACCTCTGAAAAGCTACTGCAGTTGCAGTGAAATACAGCTGCCTGGACTCAGATATCCAAGCTGAAGGAAAAATTGAAGAACTGTACTCCAGGTCTTCTTTTAAAACAGCAAGAAGTACTGTATAAAAAAACATTTCCCTGTACAGTAACATTAAAATGAGAAACATTAACATCTGCATCTTTCTTCAGCTAGTATTAAATTTCATCATAGCTAATTGAAACCACCAGTGGCTGCTCTACAACAGCCCTAAAAGCAATGAAAAGGAGCTCACTGACTGTGTGAAAGTGCAGATTGGTCCTAGCCCTGTGCACCTCAAAGTATGTTGTGGAGTGGAAAATCTTGTTCCCTTAGAAGGAAACAGGTTTTAAAAAAACACAAAGAGAGAACTATGTCATTTGCCTGGTTGTTTGAGACCTTTCACATTTTTGAAGGAGACAGATTCCAGGGATGCCTGTTATGAGGAACTTTTCTCCTTGTATTTCTGGTAAGCATCCAATATCTCCTTAACAACACTTGGATCATCAAGTGTGGTGACATCTCCCATGTTGTTTGATTGTTCAGTGACTACTTTCCTCAGCAGCCTTCTCATGATCTTCCCTGATCGGGTTTTAGGGAGACGTTTCACCATCTGCAAAGAAGGAACACACACTTGTAATAGAACCTAAGTCCTGTTGGAAACCACAAGGAAATCTGGCTGAACTGTCCTAAGCATGGCACACTATTTCATGGCCACAGCTCCTCTGAGGCTCCTGGGAAAGAGACCACTGATCGCACTAGTTTATGTCCAAGGAAAGGAGTGTAACTAGCATCAATTCCTCATGCTATAAATTTATTTTAAGTGGACTTTGTTCCCCATTGCCAGGTATGTCCAGGCTGGATGCTGCAGGACACACAGCTCTTTTGGGAATCAGGTCCTGAATAAGCTGTTAACTACTGAAATCTAATTGCACGTGAAAACTCAGGCACTAATGGTGACACAGATCCCAATGCCTTACCAGAGCACACAGACATATGTATTCCCCTTTACAGGGCAGGAATATAAAGTACACAATTCTGCACACCAGCTACTCAGCGGATAACTCCTGTCTGCTGATGTTTTTCTCTGCCTGGTTATATCTGTCAGCCTACCCACCTTCCTTCATAATCAGAACAATGTTAAATGCCTTGGCTGTGCCTCGTGCAAAGGACTTAATAGCAGATTCAAAGGCTTTAGCATAAACCTTAATAAGAGCATAAACTCTTCTGGTGAAGAGTTTTCAGACACTGAACAGAGACACTAGCAGGTCTCACATTTTACTACATGATCAGACCAGTAGGCCACAAAACTCTAAAGCAAGGTAAGAGTTACAGGACTTCTCTGCAGGACTACTCCTAGACACAGGGAAACAGAGGTGTTTCCTTGCAAACCTGCAAGTTCTGGAAGCTTCTTCAATCCAGTGAGGGTACCTTGGGCTGTACCCAATGAGCCACCCTTGCCTGCTCCTGTTGTTTTCTTTCCTGTGCCTTGGTGTCCACCTTACAAGCAAGTGGCTAAAGCAGAACCCCTCAAAGAAGTGGTGTCACTGCCTCCAAGCAGAATGAAAAGGATGCAGGCAGGCCTTGGGAGACAACTAAGGGGCAGCTTTCTGAACTCTCTGCTACTACACAAAGGGAGCTGCTGAAAGATGAGGAGGTTTGAAAAGGAGCCTGGAGCTTATCAGTGCTTCCACTGCCAGGCTGAACAGCTTCCTGTTATCCAACAGAAAACAGCCAGTGCTTTGAGACCTGAGGTTGATGCTAATTATCAGTGCAAACTAGCTGGGCAGTGGGAAGTGTCACTGCCTCTCAGTGACACTGAAGGCTGTGGCGTTTGATTCAGTTTTGTCTGATCCATTGCACAGGGCCACAGAGAGCAGTGCTGCATTGCTTCAGCTGAGGGAAAGAGCTGTACAGAGCAGCAACACTGCTGCACCTTAACAGGGACATCAAGCACATACTGAGACACATGGCAGCCCTGGAGTTTCCCTCTGCAAGAGCTCCTGCCAAGCACAGTGCTCTCAACACTCTCTGTGCATACCATTTAAGGGGTTGTTCAGCACTCAAGGAGCAGCCTCAGGGAAGCTCTAACACACACTCTGTGACAGCCCCACTGAGAAGCTGCTCTCAGGCTGGAGCAGCTGTAAAATCCCAGCCACCTCTGGGTCACTGCCAATACTCGGGCATGGAGAAAGGAGCACACAGGCAGACCACTGCATCTGCCCTCCCCTTCCTAGGATCCCTCCAGCTAGTTCTGTTTTCCTGCTTCTTTGTCCTACCAGAGAATGACAACAGTGGCACTGCAGGCAGGAAGGTGAGGCTTGCTCAGTGTGACCATTCCCGTTCCTGGTACCAGTTTCAGTCTCCCACTCACCAGAATGTGGTCAGGCACAGCATATTTTGCTATCTTGGAAGCCACCATGGTTTTGAGCTCTTCTTTGACACGGTCTGCGTGAGCTGCCTGCTCCTTTAGCACTACAAAAGCAAAGGCACCTGGAAGACAAATAAGCAGAAGTCACAAACCTCACATTAGATACTGGCTGACAAGACCAGAGATACTCACTTGAATGCCAAGGCAGGTTTCAAATCATTCCTATGCACAATGTAGGGACTGACAAGAAAACCACAGATCCTGTTTACAAAAGCGAGTCAGAACCCAGCCCTCAAATGATGGCCCAGCCTTTTCTTGGCATCTGTGGATCAGACTGATCTTAGTGACAACAAGAAGTCAACAAAAGTATCATTGTGATCAAGAGCTGGCCAACACAAATCAGCTATTTCCCATTCTGTTCAAAGGACATCTCTAAGCACAATCTAAAAGGAAGCTCTACCATATACATAAACACTATGTGCTCAAACAGTTTACAGAATAACATCTGCACCCAGTTTAGGAAATGTAGCTATTTTCGAGGCTGTCTTTGCCCCTTGGGGCTGAAATACGAGTCAGGCTAAGGATGACTGCCCTCCCAGTCCCCAAGCATCTCCTAACATACACTTAGGTTAGAATTTAAGGGAAGTGTATGTAGATGTCATGTCAGGACACAGCTTTTCACATACCTTCTCCTTTGATCTTATGTGGATACCCAATCACAGCTGTCTCAGGGACCTCAGGGTGATCAGCCTTCACAAAAAGTGAAAAAAAAAAAATACACAGATCATAAAGTCCTACAGAGTTTGCTCCAGTAGCTGTAAGAATAAAACATCTTGCCATATCTTGCTCTCTCCTTGACAGATCCTGCTGAAAGCACAACAGGAAAACTGGATGCTGACTCACTATTGCATAGTCGGCTAGTGGCTATGGCCACGTATCAGGGAGTAGCCCTGTACTAGCCCAGCTTTTATACACACAATTAAGTACTCTTACATTCACTGCTAAGGCCACTGCACATCAAACTGCATTTGCAACAGCTGGAAATCTGCTTTCTCCTTCTTTGGGCATGACTATGGTCCCAGGTGGTGACTGGCCACAGCTGAATCACCAAGCAAAACCAGTTCCTGCAACGCTCAGTCCTACAGGAAACTGTGACCAGCAGAGCAAAATTGAAGCTGCCAGCATCACAGTCCACATTTTACTGGTGTTTATAAGTCCATCAGAAGGCAGAAATCAGACGTCTTCATCTTCTCAGAAGAGAGAAGGTTGCTTTGCAATTGCATTTTTATTATTATGCTACACTACAATGATTTCGTCTGTTGCACTTCAGAGTTTAAGTTTACATTCTTCTACAGTAAGATGACAATTTGGGTGCACAGACCAGAAGAAATCACATATCTGAATCTCACATCAAAGAAGGGATTATCTTAAATTAAAGTATGAAAGAAAACATCATACAACAATCTAAGCATATAAATATATTTGCATATACACAAGCATACACATCCATGGATTGTGAGAGGAACTGGATCCTATAGCTGTGATCAGAAACCCACACAGACAAAAGAATTACTTTTGGAGTAGGAGAAAGTAGAATCCTGTGTTCCATGCAAACACAGCTCAGGTTTATCAGATGTTACATTTAGGTGACATTTGCAGGCAACGCACATAATACAGAAATAAATATTCAGGTCAAGTTTTAAAGATAAATGCTCCGAGGACTTTTTGTTTTCCATTCTCTAAGCTAATATTATTTTCTCTCAAAATGACAGGTAAGTTTTGCAGCTGATATAAATCAAGGTTGCTTTATGTTTAACACTTCCGAATTCTCAGGCATATTCAGCTAATTTGGATGAGCAAGAACCACAGGTTTGGGAAGGAGAGGTCAGATGTTAGCAGAGGAGAAGGAACAAATGGGAGAGAGATTTATGGAGGGTCCACCAGCATCCAAAACAACAACTGCAACAGTACAAGATCACTGAGAGGAAACACAGCCCTGACAGTTCAACTGCAGGGACTGCTCACAGTGTGACTCCTCTCTCACTTGCTCATTTGTTGTCCCCTAAATAAAAGGGAGCTGTTTCCTCTTGCACATTTGCTATACATTGTGCATCAGGCTGTGGGTATGCAGGGGCAGGGGTTTGAAGGCAAGAGACCCTTCACAAAGCTGCTTTGAAAGGGTCACTGTACCCCACAGATACGCCCTGCCGAGGGACCTCTACCTGCTCGGAACTTACCATTGCATCTTCTATCTCTGCTGTCCCCAGCCTGTGCCCACTGATGTTAATGACATCATCCATGCGCCCTGTTATCTGGTAATAGCCTTGCTTGGTCCTGTAAGCACCATCCCCTGTGAAGTAGTAACCTACAGCAAAGACACAAATGTGGTCAGCAGCAGGAAGTGTGCCAGCCTATTGTTTTGGGCTCTGGTGCAGAACAGACTTTGCCAGGATGGCAAGTAGGGCAGATTGGACTGGGCAGCTCACAGGCCCTGCTAAGTTTACAGCTGCGTGACCTGCCTCACAGCATTTCCCACTTCCCTCTGCCATCCCTGACCTTTGTCTGCTCTACCTGGGCTGTGCTGGCTCCTATAAGCACCTGAACAGCACCAAGACAGTGGAGCTCAGATCTCTGCCAAGATGGACAAAATCACTGTAGGCAATCAGCAGCAACAAGTGGCTGATAGTAAAACCAAGTCCAGCAACACAACACAGTGATGCACAGTTGGATTTACAAACCAAGGGAGGCTCTCTGATCTCCCTGGGATTTATATGCCTACAGCTGCACAGCAACTGTGTGCTCAGGCCTGGTGCATATAGCACTAAGTTAAAATCACTTCTAATGCCATTTGCCATCGTGCCACGAGTTATTTGTCAAACTCAGGTCTGCTGCTAGCTGTACTTCAGGACTCATAGAAAACTACAGCTGCTCAGCTGAAAGGGAGCAGTTCTATTAGGTTTTGTACATGGAAACACTGCCAGTTTTTTTAATCACTTACACTGGGATGGATGAAAAGCCATTTTCCCTCCCGGCTAACAAAGATTCAGATTCCAGATAACAGTCCCTCTCCAGCATATAAACGCAGAATAAACACTGTTATCAGATTAGCTAAAAATAAACACCAAACCCATGCCACAATAAACATGGTGTTCAGAGAGGCCAAAACATTTGATGGAAACTGAAAAAGACCCAGCATTTCCTGGAAACTCCAGTGTCACTGAGGACACATCTGGATTGTGTCGGCTTTTCATCAAAGCTGTGTCTGCATCTGAATTGTTCCAGTGACACATCTGAGCAGCAGCAAGTTAGCTAGTGCTGTGAAATCTGAAGGTGATTCTTGCCAGGACATGTTATTGGCCAATTCGTGGATTTTCAGTCATGTCATCTGCCCTTCTAGATCAATTAAACAACTAAACAATTAAACATCTAAATATCAACAAGACATCAGATGCAAATATGAGATGCAAATATGTACTGAGCAATAAGGGACTATGGGATCCTTCAATTTCTTGTACCAAGTTCCCATTCTTATTATCCAACCCATTTTGTACAATTTTCAGGATTGCCTCTCTAGTTATTGCCTACCCCATAGCTTTCAAATCCCTTTCAGTTGTTCTCCTGAGTGAAGACAATGGTCTTTCTTGTTCAATCTCCTAAAAAAAGGATTCCCTGCCACTTCTAGTTACTTCAGATTCAACTTGACCACATTTCAAAAATGCAGCCTGTGACAGCAGGTGTGAGATTGTGATGCAAGAGGTACTTTCCCGTTAAATATGCTGATTTCCAAGTGGGACACAAAGCTCCAAAGAAAAGTCCTTGGGCTTTAAAGCTTGGGCATTAAAGTTTTCTAAAAAATACATGCCCTTTTGACAGCTAGAAAGGTCAACACTACCTAAAACCATCAGTGCATGCTTGCAATATGTGACACATATCCCAACCCACCATGATCTGGATAGTACAGAAATATGAGAAAGTACTGCTGAAAATATTCACAGTGCTTACACTGCAGTGCAAACTGCCTTCTCCCTTGGCACTTTCCTTACCTGGGTAGGCTCTGAAATAGACTTCAACAAATCGCTGGTGATCTCCATAGATTGTTCTTGCCATGCCAGGCCACGGCTGGGCAATGCAGAGCGCACCGGACACATCATTGCCCTCTATAACCTTTCCCTGCAGGTTCAAGCACAGGAGGGATGATCAGGTGAACAAAATAGGAACAGCAAGGGCTTCTGTGTCATTGATCTGGCAAGAGTCACCCTGTTGCTCACTGCAGACTGCCAGTGGAAGGCCAGAGATGGAGAAAATGAATCCACTCATGGAGCTATTATGCATTGCACTGTCTGTATCATGCCTTCCTCACCCCTTGAGGCCAGCAGCACAACAGAGAAGACTAAAAGAAAAGTCAGTCTTGTGATTCTCCACAGGGCAACTCCAGCAAAGATGTGCCAAGCAGCCAGAGGATGCCTGGGATGAGGCTAGCAGAGAAATACCTGGACCTCTGCCTTCCACTTTCACTTTTCGTAATTGCCACGTTCCCTTACCAAACTCTCTGGAAGAAAATACATGCTTTACTGTTTAACAGAGTGCTGGAGTACAGATGGGGATCATCCACACAGCTTCACAGACTAGCACCAGTTTTCTCACAGACATGCCTAGTTGCAGGGCCTCATGCCTTGCATTTCCTTTGGAAAACTCCACTGGTCCTGCTGGCTGTTCCAGTCTTGCCATGTCACTGGATGTTGCATGCACTGCTCCAACTGTTCAGCTCTGTGGTTCCCAGGAGCTGTGAGTCTTCTGACTTCTCTCATAAATGGAGGCAGCAGCTCTTAACTGGAAGTAGTGCAAGACCATAATAGTGGTGCTGAAAACGTAAAGAACTCTTCTAGACATCTGCTGATATCTTGCAATGCCCAGCTGCCAAAGCTGTATGAACAAATCTGTATGGGCAAATCTGTATGATCATACGTACATATAAATTGCTCATCTATTCTACCATTTTAATGGAGAAACAAGCATCCTTCTGGATCCTGTTCCTTTGCCATCTGAGAGGTGATTAAGGCAGAAACACATACCAGCTTCTTTTTTGGGCACCCAGCACAGCTTCAACTCACATTCTCATCCATCAGCACAGGCACAATCCCAAAGAAAGGTCTCATAGCCATAGCTGGAACAATCTCAGCTTTCTCCTCTGAAGGTCGTGGGGCAATGCAGATGCCACCAGTTTCTGGAAGACCAATGATATACAAATGAACCAAATACAGATAGTCCATCCAATGCTGGATGAAAGCAAACTCTAGCTCTTCTTAGGTCAAGATGGAAGCCACTTTGAAAGAAAAAGCCACCTGGAAGGAATTATGCAACACCAAGAAGCACAGCAATCTGAAAGCAGCACAATCCTGGAGTGGGCTGTAACTCACCCAGCCCCATTTCCTGCACCAGAATTGATTTTACAAGAAAAACATAAGCATGGCAGGGGATTTATCTCCCACTGGTATTTCTGCCGCTGTGTAAGGTTAGCATGAAATGCATTTCAGGAATCTGAATTACTATTATTACAGAGTAGGAGATTAACCCATCCCTTACACGCAAGTTGAGCTTATCTTCTAGTCAAAATTGAACCTTTCAATCATCCTCTTTTATTCCTGCTGGGATGAACATTAAATCAGATTCCAACTTTAATGAGATCTTTTCTATTCTAAAACTAATTCAGAAACACAAGAGAGAAACAAAACCACAGAAGGTTTTTAAAAACACAACTCAATAAATAAAGGTCTGTTCTGCCACATGCCTAGTGCATTCCTCTACCAGCTTTGCTGAGGTTGTGAAAATTGAAACTAGGGGTTGGAAAGGCTGAATTTGACCCCAAACTTGGATCCAGCTGCCCTGATGTAGCTATGAGGAAGGTTCTCTGAGGGTCTCTAAACTTTAGACATGCAGCAAATAGTTTCACACATGGCTTACACATAGAATTATTCCCCATTTCACTGATAGGCATGCATCCACTTCATGTTTCTGTTTATTTTGAAAAGAGGCACTTGAATTTTTTCAGGAAAAAGCACGGCAGACACCTACTGTTCTCTGTTTGCACAGATAAAATCTGCATCAGAACAGGGACCCTGATTAAACTGAAGGTTGCTCTTCCTAAGCCAGTACTGATCTCGACTACAACACTGCGAGCTATGCTTCAGCATGGGGTTTGCCATATCCTACACATCCTGCAGCCAGCTGCACGTGAGGCAGTAAAGTCACGTTCCAAAGGGAGCTGTAAGGTAGCAAGGGTGCTTTAAAAATTATTTGCAAGGTGAAGACTTATTTTAAATTGCTGCAAAAGTACCAGTTTTAGCCACTGACATATGACAGCTCTCAAGACTTCTAGGCTCTACCCTGCTCTTATGAAGCCTGTCCTTCAGAGGCAGAGCTGGTAGAGAAATGCCGTGTGTCCACATTACCTGTGCCCACGCTGTGAACATAGTGCCAATCCACCTGGACTTTAGGCAAGGCCAGCAGAGTCTGAGCAGGGGATGGGGTGCATTCAAACAGACCATTGATAAATCCCACCTGGCAGCAGAGTGGAGCATGTGCTATCTGCCACCACAGATAGACTGAACTGACTACTCTGGGGTTTCAGAACCACCAACCCAGTCTAAATTGCTGTAAGATCATGCCAACAACAAAAGCTTTGAGGGCCTCTTCAGAGATGTCTTTCAAAACCAGCTTTTGTTCATGGCTGTACTTTTTTGTAAAACCAGTGACAAAACTGACAATACCTACTGTCTCTTCTGCACTGTAAAGAACTACACCTAAAACTCAAACACAGCTCTGATTCTGTTTTATTACTGTCAATCACAACACAGCACTAACATCTTAACAATAAGAGCCATAGAAATTATTCATCTGTCTCATCTGCACACACCACAATATTTAAATTGCTTCTCATAACTGCTATCTCACTCATTTGCTCATTCAAAGACTTTCAAGTGGATTCTTAAATCACCATTTGCTGATCTGTAGGCCTTCCAGGCTTTATTGGCTGGCAACAGGTTGCTGCTTCAGAGAACAGCATAGAGTAGAAGACACTGCATAGAGCAGCACAATTAACACGATACATCAACGTTGTATCTGATAGGTGACACTGTGGGACCACAACCAGAACCCATCAAACTGTTCCTATGATCTCTTTCCACACTCCTTTTAACTTCAAATGGCATATATAATCTTTCCAAGATTAATTTGGCTTCCTTTTTATTAAAAGTATCAACTGTGGAGAACGATTGATTCTACTTTCCAACAAAATCGATTTCATGAATATTCATCATTATATTATGCTTCCAGGAGCTGGTAAATGCTTACCTGAAAAACTATGCCTGGTTCAAGGTAAGAACAAGCACTCTGCACTAAGAGACTGTCCAGTGAATATTTTTTAACCTCTCATCTGATAGTTGTTGCTCCAAAACCCCAGGAGAAACAGAGTTTATTCCAAGATCTACTACATGCTCCACTTAACAAACTAACCAAAGAATGTTATGGTAAAAATGGATTCTTCTCAACTACATCAATGTACAGTAATCAACTGCTTCTCTGTGGTGTTTTCTTTCAGAGCAGTGATGAGGAAAGCACATGATGAGGAAAGACCTAGCCAATCATCTTTCCTTCTGCTGAGCATCTAGGGACCCAGTTGATTTAAGAGATCATCAATTGAAGTATACAGTAGTTAACACTGCGGCTCTGAATTCTGAGGTGGTTTTATTTCAAAACTGAAAATAAAAAAGAGGCTGCAAGTTTGTCTGGATTAAATGGAAGTTGGTTATGTGCCAGAAGAAAATTCACCACACTGAGACAGGGAGCCTGCTAGCAGGAATAAAGATGAAATCAGGAGCAGCTTGACTGGAAAGGGAATGAATATTCTGCTCAATGGCAGATTCAGAGTAGGGATGACTATTTTGCAGCAGAGGCAGAATGCCAGCAGCTGTGCTGCTGTCTCCATGGCAAACTGGATCTCACAATTTGAGAAGGACATATTGCAAGACACCTTTAGCAATGCCTGAATGCTGGTGCCCAGAAAAGACTGGGTACTGAGGAAGGAGCTGGGAAGGAGCAGCAGGACTCTGGCAAGTGGAGGGCCCCACCAGGCAACACAAACCAAGCTGGAGTACAGCACATGGCCTCTCTCCTCAGCTGGCCAGGGAGACCAGGAGGCAGAGACCAGCTCTGCTCCAACTGGGCTGGGATCTGTGACAGCCAGTCACTCTGTCCAGCAGGCTGTAAACAGAAAACAAGCCTTAACTGATGCACACAGCTGGGTCAAGCATGTTACCAAAACAGAAGCATATCCTTTTTGAGGCATCAAAGGTTCAGGGCCAAAACAACTACACCATACCAATTCACTACCTGGAGAGGGTGCTCCCCAGCAGCCCTGCTGGGTGACAGCCACCATGCTCTAGCCACCTGATGGGCAGCCAGCAAACATCCACTCCTTTCAATCTGCCTGAGTAGTTCCATAAGGCTCCTTTGACTACACAGCTCAGTTTTCTATCCTTGTCTGACCATTCCCAGGAAGGAAAACAAAGCACACCTAAGTGCAGATATGGTGTTTTAAATGCCTTTGCATGACAAGACCATAACAAGCTCAGTACAGTCGGATAAATAATTGAAAATGAGTTTTGCAATTCAAGCTGACTACTGCCAACTTTCCCCAGAAATTCAATCTCTGCCTCATGTCTCTAGCACCAATTGATATTTTCCAGCATTCAAAATATCAAGGAACATTTAGAGGGGAAAGAAAACCACAGCCTCAACATTGCTATTGCTTTTCTAAGTTGTTACATTGCTCTTATGTGCTGAAACTCCCCAACGACTATCAAAAGCTGATCAAAATGCCGGAAGGGGTTTTTTTTTTTGACAGACTTGTTGGATCACATTGAAATGTATTAATCCTTCTCTAACCACCAGCAACCTGTCAGTGATGAGGGTGCCCGCTCCCCAAGGATGCCTTTTACCTGTCTGCCACCACGTGTCCACGAGGGTGCAGCGCCCTTCTCCCACCACCTGGTAGAACCACTGCCAAGCCTCCTTGTTGATGGGCTCTCCCACTAGACCAAAACAAGAAAGTGGCCTGAGACTCAGGAAGTTGCAGGCAGTTAATTTTCCCTCTTGGTGCACAACGAGCTGAATGCATGATCTCCAAGCAGAATGCTTACACCATTTTTGCTGGGATGCATAAAGGACTGCAATGCACTCATGTAACTGAGAACTTTTTCCAGGAAGACCAAGAGGCAAGCAATGAATATCACTTAAAGTAACTAATCAATGTAGGTCATGTTTAGGAACCTCTCGAATCGTAAAAGAAATAATGCAGGAAAATGCTGCTGGGGCCAGCTATGTCAGTAAAATTCAAAGGGATTTACCATTGGATACATCATTTACCATTGGATACATCCAATTTACCATTGGATACATCATTTTAGTGAAGAATGTGATCCTGCAAAATAAGCTAGGAAACAGGCAATCACAGAGATTCAATGGTCCCAAATTTAGTTTGCTGCTTCTTCTGCTGAGAAAATATTTGAAAAGCCAGACACAGAGCCTGCTTTATCATCTTTTTTTTAACCATATCCCATGTGATCAGCTGAACTTCTCTGGCCCCTTTACTTCACCAGCTAGAACCTCTTGTCTTTTTCAGATGAAGATTCCTGATGTCCCCTACCTGAACCCAAAGTCTTCAAGGAAGATCTGTCATACTTCTTCACCCACTCTTCTCCATAATTCAGCAGTAAGCGTATAGCCGTAGGTGCTGCATAAAACTGATTAATTTTCAACCTTTGTACCACTTCCCAGTAACGACCTGCAAAATCACAAACAGGCTTTTTATCCATCTAGCACTGATATACAGCTATAAATGCTCAGCTGAAAGGATAACAGGCAAACATGAAGCTGTGACTACTGTGAGTACAGAGCAAAAGCAATAACAACCTCCCCTCCCCCGCCCTGCCAGATGCACAGATGTTCCTGAGTGTTGTAGACACGTGTTCCAAAGAAATGGAGCTTACCTCTCCTGAGAGGGCAGGTCACACTGGATAGGTTTCTAAACTTCTTTTGTCACATGGCCACGTCTAGCCAAACCTTTTCCCACCACTTCCTCACCTGGGTCAGGGTACAGTGGAGTGCTTTCAAAGAGGACAGAGGTGGCTCCATTGCAGAGTGGTCCATACACAACATAGCTATGTCCTGTGATCCAGCCAATGTCAGCCACACAGCCAAAAACATCGCCTTGCTGGTAGTCAAATACATACTGCAAAGAGAAATGTAAGGCCAGCTGACTTCCTGTCGGTAAGTGCAAAGGGCTTAAAGGTAAGGAAGGTGCTGGACTGGACATCCAAATGGGAGAATGGGAGTGCACAGGGCAAGTGGAGCCAAGCCTGCAGGACACTGCAGCACAAAGACCAATCCACAGCGAGGAAGCAAGGCAGAGGGACCAGTACCAGGACTTATTGGCTCCTGTCTACTTTTGCAAAAATACAGGGAACATGGCTGTACCAACTGGATCAGCTGGAACAACAAAGTTATAACCAAAGCCCAGAGCCCTGGATACTTAAGCTTGCCTAATCCAGGCAGTGCCCATTGGAGAGCTGACTCTGAGTCTCAGGGAAATGCAGACCTCAGGGTCTCAGACTCCTCACCAATATCAACAGATTTCCATGAGAGCTGGAGGAATTGACAGGTGCCCATAAAACATCTTCTGAGAAATACTCTTAGCTTCTCAGCTTCTCTATATCAGAGCATTGCTTTCCAGATGCTACCCTCTCCCAGCTCATCAAACTCAAGATAAATATCTTGAAGATCTCATTATCTCGTCTTGGTTATGGAAAACGCTTCCCACTGTAAATCTAACTAACACCTGTACCATAAGGTGAAGAGATCCTGACTCATATGGCAAAGTCAGCTTTATGGATTAGAAATAAAAGAAAAACCCATGAGTGTGTGACAAGAGTGTCACATGTGAGTGTGCAAAGGGATCACACAGGTCAGCTGATCCCTCTACCTAGGATAGCCAATTCTCAACTTACTTTTTAAGTGCCTTTTCCTCTCAGGCACTCTGCGGGTGGAGAAAATGCACCAGGGTGCAGGATCTGTCTTCTGGACTAAGAAAGAGATGCCTTGGAGAATACGCTGTCACTTAGAAAGCTGATGTAACAAATGCCCTTCATATGCAGAGAAGTCTGACACTTGAACATTTAAATCTTCTAAAAATTCAACTGTGTCAGCCCAAAGAAAGAAAAACCTCCACCTGAACTGCTGTGATTACAAACAGGGCGATACCACTAAAGCCAGTTGAAGATTTTTCACTAGAGTCTTCTCTTTTCCTCATTTCACTGTTACCCTTTCATATGCAGAGCTCAGACCAGAAGCTTCAAGAAGTGCCTTGACTCTTTTCTTTTTCAGGAGAAAGGAGGTTAAAACATTTTGCCTAGATCACCCAGTAAAGCAGTGCAGAGGTGCAATCACTGGAGTAGACATGCAATTTTTGTTCTTCAGACAAATGCTATGCAAAGAGGTTGTTTTAGGAAATAAAAAAGGCTAGCACCCCACTGCAATATACTACAGTAATATCCACATTACCAATGCCAGTAAGATACTCTCCAGGATCTCCTCAGCTGCAATTTCTGGGAAGCCAAAGCTGGCACATTTTAAATGCAAAAGCAGCACTGCCATTTCCTTCCTTTCATAACTACTCTAAGGTTCAGGTTTGCATAATATCCTATTCCCCAGGAACAAATCCTGAAGATTAATCACACAGTTTCAGATATTTTTCAGCTTGTTTACACCCAATAAGCCAACTGGGCAGCAAACAGAGAATACAGCACTCCTCACCAATCCAAGTCTCTCTCGTTGGCACAGTTGGAAGGTAAGGAAGTTTTTCCAGAGGATGCATCTGAGTTACCTTGTGCGTGAGAGTGGCGTACAGCAGGTATCCAGCCTGGGTGTGAACGATTCCTTTGGGTTTCCCAGTGCTGCCTGAGGTATACAGCATGAAAAGCATGTCTTCACTGTCCATGCTCTCTGGTGTGCATACGGAAGCTGCCTTGGTCATCTCCTGAGGTAGTAATGACAGAAAGATTTAGCTCTATGGAGCCAACCATTACTCCCTCTGTAAGAATGTTTCCACCAGTACCTCTGCTAGGTACAGAAGTCAAGAAGAACTTGGCCAGATAAAATAGTGCTTCAGGAAAAAAATAGTGTGTCATAGCTGCTTACATTCCAAACCTTTGCAAGCTGCTGGTAGAAAACCAAAGTGTGACTGGACACATGAATCACACTTGACAGCAGCAGCAAGGCTGACTGGGTACCATCTAGGACCTTTCTTTTCCTTTGAAAACTGCAGTGCTACAGTTAAACTGTGCATGCATTTCCCTTCCCTGGCCCCAGCAGTGGATGACTGTCCTGTCCCATTTGATCCTCAAATTCTAATTTCTTCTACTCAGGAGGAGAGTGCTTTACTCTCCTGCCTCTGTCACTCTCTTCATACCCCCTATCTGGCCAGGCTGGCTGAGATCCTCTCCTTACCCCTACAGTCAGAATCACAGGAGGGAAGGATGCAATGTCCTACTAGGTCAGAGCAAACTTTTGGTCCAGCTTGTGTGCTCAGTTCAGCAGAGAAAGGGGAATTAATGTGCTTTGAAAGAGGTGCTTGTGGTCACCAGATGTTTTAGCAGCAGAAGGCTTGTCTACCCAGGCTGTAGATTTTTCAGGATGAGATTGAACATTTTTCTTATCCATGTACAAACTTGCAATAATCAGCGTGTGTTACAAATGCTCAACATATGGCTGTAAAAAAACCACAGCTGGCTTGTGTCTCTTGAGCCCTGTACTGTACTAGATGAATGATTCCTGCAAGGGTTATTAGGTGGCTCCTTGCAGAAATTTCTAGGTACTGCCTTTTTATGAGTATCCACTGTAAACATACTGTATTTACAAGTGGATACTACTATCAGCAGGTCCAGTCTGACAAACAAAGCTTAATAAAATATAGCTGACAGTCTGGTGTTACTCTTAGCCTGCCTCTGAGTTACCCAGTCTGACAAAACAAGTTTAATAAAATGTAGCTCGTAGTCTGGTGTAATTCTTAGCCTCCGAGTTACAGCACTGCTGCTCATCTCAGGTGTTTATTGTGACATTTCAGCACTGCCAATTCGGGCTGACTTGCCAGTTTTTGAAACAAAGATGGAGTCCTCATATGCTCCATTATAACATGAGCTTAAATTTTGCAGTAGGGCATTGCACAAGAGCTGGAAAGAACAAGTGCTGTAAAGATCAGTAACGACAGAGTTAACAGCATTAACTGTTTCATTCTTGCTTTGTTTCAGACCCTGACAATGTACTGAGCTCAGCTCCTGGATCATTAAAGCACCTCAGGCTGTTGGCAGACTAAGGAAAATCAAAAGGCCCTTTGTGGAGTAGGTAGTAAGACAATTTCTGAATAAAACCTGCCTTCTCTGTTTAACTTACAGAAGTAGTTACTCCTATCTCATGTGACCAGCACAGACCCTCAAGCAATTATCTTGCCTGCAGATGGATGATTTCCAGGCATTATTAGAATGAATAGTTTGCGTTAACTGCTGCTGGAAAACTGGTAAAACTACTTCTGCTAAAAACATAAAAGTAACAGCTGCTTTCTTTGCCAGGAAGCACAGGTTCTAAATACTCCCAAGCCACCACTGTCCTCCCATTGTGGAGCAACACTGTTCACAGGCTGTATTTAGCCTCTCTAGGAACTTGATTATTTCTGTACTGCCTTTCAACAGTGCACATGCAAACCATAAGAGAGTGTCTGAACACAGTATAATAACAACAGCAACAATGGTCTCAGTGCCCTCTGAGCCTCAGGAAACATTCATTCCTTAAATCTCAGCACTGTCTGCAAGACTACTAAAATGGAGCAGCATAACCCCTGCCCGTGTTGAGATAAACCAGATGTGGACTGAGCTGCTTTGACTCACAATCCTAACAGACTGTAAATACAGGCAATCCATTTGAGAATGAAGATCCAGATGATAAAAGGAGCAGAACTCCAGTCCAAAAGGCACAGATGGAGAGAAAGATTATCCTAGCCAACATTTAGACCTAAAAGAAGTTATTCGGAGCACCAGTGAGCGTCTGTGGCAGCACAGGAAGAGCACCACACACTGAAAACCTGCTCCAGAGGCAGCATAAAGGCCAGACATCACTGTCAGGCCTGGTACAGCTACACTGGAGTGCCAAGCTGCTTCATAGGCTTTCAAGCTCAGCACACACAGCTCAAGGAAACTGTCATGCAGACTGCCTCGTCTTTCCTGGCTGCCAATTCCTAGTGTAGCCTACAGCAGATCAAAGACCAGAGCCAAACACCACAGTGTGCATGATCCACACCTTCAGGAAGTCTCTTACATGTGTTCTGAACAGCCTTGCATCAGGTTTCTCAGAGATGCCTGAGGTAGCTGGTCCCTACATTTATTAGTTCACCATATTTCTCTTCCCAGGCATAGTAAACATCATGTACTTCAAGAAACATCAGGAATACAGGCAAGGTTTACCAACAACAACATACCTCTTCAAGGGGAATATCACAGTCACCCATCTGGACTTTGTTATCTGTTCTCTGAGCCACAAAGACATGTTTGATGCTTGGACAGTTCTTCACAGCTTCATCCACGGTCATCTTCAGCTCTATGATTCGGCCTCCCCTGACTCCCTGGTTGTAGGTGATAACTGCTTTGCATCCAGCTTAGAAGAAAAAGAATTAGCAGACATACCAGCCTGCCTTCCAGGCTAGTGTGCACACCCTACTTTCATTACTTTGGGGGATGATGTATAGGACAGCATGTGTGTCAAATACTTAGAACCACTATCAATCAAAACCGGTCAGTGTCACTGACGAAAAAACTTTAAAACATGAGACACACAGAGATTAGGGGTAGCTGGAACCTCCAGAGGTTATCTAGTCCATCTCCCCCACCCCAAGGCAAGGTCCACTCCAGCTAAACCACTTCTGACAACTATCTGTTCAGTCTTCCTAAAATGCTCCAATGGCATCTATTCTACCCTCTCCCCACCAGTCTACTCCAGTGCCTATCATGAATACGAGAAGGTCTTTCCCAACATCTACCCTAAGTATCACTCAATGTAATTTAAATCCTCAGTTCCTGCCTAGCAAAGCTGACATGCAGAACAGCTTCCTCCCAGTTACCTGTGTTACAGTGAATGATACTGCTTTAGGCTGACAGCTCTCACACTGAAACCAGGGCAACACTTCCTATGATCTGTGTGAACAAGCACCTTTGCCCCTGTCTCTGAGGCTCCATGTAAGCATCCATTACAAACTGACATGGACACCACAAAGTTCAGCAGCCTCTTGAAGGTGTCACCCTGCTCTGAGATACCTGCAGCCTTCTGAAACTTTTCTGTACTACCTGGAAGCCACAGCACACAGCAGCAATCTGGCAGAACACTTCAAACTGCACCACTCAACATTATTACAGAGCTGTGGTGGCAGAGAAATGGCTGTTTAGTCCATCATCTCCACACAAGTGGCCAAAAATGAGGGATAACTAAAACATGTATTTGCTTTCTATAGATTAACTCCACTAAAAGGAGGAAAAAACCATGAAAATTTCTGTAAGACTTTTTCCCTCACACTAGCCATAAAGTAAGTGATGTGACTGCTACGGGACATGAGCCACTTACTATTTAGCTCTTCTGTCAGTACTTTTAGCATTACTTTTTAACTAATCACACAAGTGCTGTGGGCTGAGAACAGCTCTGTCTGCTGGTACAAGGGCTCACAGAGCAGACGCAGGCTGCCAACACTTCCAGTACCATACATAAATCACAGGATTACCACTGAGAATGCACAATTAGTACTGTGCAAGAGTATCAAAGAAATCACTGCAATTACACTGCAAAAGAACAAATCAGGCCCCATCCCTAAGCTCTGGTTTTCCTTCCAGCTTCATTGCTGGCTGGCAGTAACCCAGTGCACACTGAACGTTAAGCAATTTATAAAGTTTTTTAAGGCCAGAGGATATTGCATCTCTCCCTAAGGAAAAGGCTGTTCAATGCACTCTGCAGAGGAGAGTATACTCAACAGAGAACTGGAGTATGTCTTGGACCACTGTCCCAGAGGAGTTTGTTCCCCAGTCTGCATCTACTTACAGTCCATGATTCTCCCAGCTAAGGACTCTGCGCTGAATCCGGCGAAAACCACATTGTGAACGGCACCAATTCTGGCACAAGCCAGCATGGATGCCACTGACAAGGGAGACACGGGCATATAGATGGCCACCCTGTCCCCTTTCTGTATCCCGTATTTCTTCAGGGTGTTGGCAAGGCGGCAAGTCAGATCCAGAAGTTCCCTGCAGGCACAGAAGCAACACTGTCATATGATCACACAACCTGTTTTACACGGGGGGAACAAAGAAAAGATGAACTTTTCTTTGTGCATGAGCGAGGTATCACATCACCTCTGGACCTCATCTCGGCAGTACTGGGCACATTAGCTTTTGCATTTTAAAGAACAGTAGCCTGGGGCATGGTGAGAGTCAGACTGCTCCTGCCATTTCGGAGAGGAGAAAAAAGGGGAGGGAGCGGTGCTGGCTGCAGAAGGATGAGTGAGACAGAGCCGCAGGCGCTGCCTGGAGCTGCCAGGCTGTGATGTGGGTAGAGCAGCCAGCAAGGGGCTGTCCTGCTGCCTCCGGAAGTCAGTGTCCATTTCGGTCATCCTTGATACATGAGGCTCAGTCAGAAGCTACTGGGAACAAATGTGGGATAAACACAAGGTGAAATGCAAGTGTTGTCTAAAGCCTCCCAGAACTTTTTGAGTTGGACAACTAATGGAAGTGCTCCGCAACTAGAAGATTCTCTTTAAATTGCAAGGGTAAACTTTTGCATGCATAAGGAAGAAAAGGAGAAGTCCCCAAAACACCAGTGTGAAGGGCAGCTTTTACATGATTTTCATCAAAGCTGGATCATCTGCAGCCCAACTTCCTCTGTTGTCACTTCACCCTGCCATGCTGCAGAGCACAACAGCCTCGCAGAATAGCAGTACTGCTCCGAACAAAATTGCAGCCACTCTTGCACAGAGAAACTTGGGAACACTGAGAACAGGAACAAAGGCTCTTTTCATGCGGCTCGCCATTGCAACAAGCTGTCTTAATAGCAAAAACATTCCTCTAAGGAATGAAAAGGCAGTGGGCAAAGGCTTGCACATACACTTATTCTGCACAGGGGATAAGACGACTGCAGGTACACCTGGGTCCAAGATGCTGTCGTACTGAACAGCTGTGTATGCCTCCAGTGGAAAGGCTTCGGGAACAAGAGCTACTGTACCAGGTGAGGAGTGGTCTCATGCCAAAGGAGGTGACCCTAGGAGGGGTGGCAGGACGCTCCTTCTGTGCCAACCATCAGCTCAGAGGAGGAGACTGGCAGAGTCTGCCTGAAATGAAAATTGTCCTCTGTGTTCACAAACTCCCTAAGCCCAGAGGAGAGAGATATCTTCTACTCCCTAGGAAACTCATCTTCAACCTATCACCTGTGAACCCTCAGAGGTTGTAAGCTATGCCACCAGGGACTCCCATAACTGTTAACAAAGACATTAATTTTGGTGGTTTGCATTCCATAATAAGCTGTAAAGCATAAATCCTTATCTTATGTGCCCTCTTCTCACAGAACTGACCATAGCTGTGAAAAAACAAAGAAACAAAATCAATATTCAGCTGGTGGCTAAGCTGCAAATAAAATGAAAAGCTGTTTCTTGTTCATCAAAAATTGTTTTGTTTCTTTTTTTAAACCACTGCAAGTTGGAAATAGGGAAAGCTCTGCTTTGGAAATGTCATATCAAAACTTGGCATCTTACTTCAGTAGGATAAAACTCCATTTTCACTGAGAGGGCACAAAGAAACACAGTCACTGAGAAAGCATGAAGACAGATCCAGTGATGGCTGGAGGGACACCACTTCCCTCCCATCTTTCAGAAGACAAGGAAAATGAGCCTCAAATCCAAGGCACAGCACCTCATATTATTTATTTTAATACTATTCCTGTAGGATCAAGTAAACAGTCCATTTCTGGACAGGCACTCAGAGAAGTGGCCAGACATGCTCAAGTGCCTGTTCTCTGGCAGTAGCTGGCAACAGCTGCCACTGCTGCCAGACCACAATCCCGCAGAAAGCAGGCATGGAGTGGCTGCACCCCAGACTGAATTTCCCCCTAATCCCTTACAGTTAGAGATCAGCCTAAACTCTAAAGCGCAACATTCAATCACCACTTTCCAATGCCCTCATGACCATGCATGTTCCTACTGTCTACATAACTGCACAGTCTGTTAGATTTATTATTTTGCTTACTTTTACTGAGTTCATGAACTGAGCAACTCTGTGCAATAATGATTTCCCACCCCATGTTTGGTTTGGTGCCTCGTCCTGAAAGGTCACATTTTCTGGTCTGGAATTTATCTGATGCTGCATTAGAGAAAAATGTCTATGTGGATAAATAATAAAGAGCCCAAACAAAACTAAGCTGCTCAACTGCAGAGCGCAGGAAGTGAAACAAGCTCCAGACATGCAATTGTGAGAAAGTAAAATAAAAACTACTTATCTGCACTGGAAAAGGCTCGAGTGCTTTCAGAGCTGCAGCCTCTTTCTCCTGAGCAGAAATGCCAGAGTATCTCTGGTTACGATGTGTTTTCTGAGCAACTCCATGACTCACTTGCTTATTGAAGACTCAGTGACCATGATGGCAAAAGCTCTCATTGTTTTTTATGATTAACTCCAATTTAAGATCGGCATAATGAGAGTGCATGAGCAAGTTAATAAACAATACAGAGCAGTCTTTACCCACGGATCTATTCACTTTGCCTTTTTTGTACTCTGAAATGCCAAGATAGAAAGGCCTTGAAGGTCCCTTGGCGGTGCAGCACATGGGGGAAGAGGCACAAAGGCAAAGGGGTGATGCCAAGAACTCCAACAAAAAAATCCACTAGTCCCTGAGCATCAGGTGTGTCTTCTGGCTCCTGCAGCAGCAACTCAGGCTTCCTCTCCAGTTCAGGAAAGAGAGTTAGCAGAAATGCTGTGTCAGGAATCCTTCCCTTGACTCCTTCATTCCTACAAACTCACTTTGCTATCTAAAGGCAGGCAATTAGTATAGGTCATCATACTAACACGTTGCCAGTTCTTAACCCAGACATGTCTTGGGAAGGAACGAGCACCCTGCAGAGTTGCTGCCCCACAGAACAGTGTAGCATCTGAGACAACTGCCCACCCTTCCTGCTGACATCCTGAACCCAAGGCAAGGGAAACCCCTTGCAACCTTTTTCAGGTGAGAAAGTGAAAAATCCATGAACTGCCTTGAACAGGCAAAGCTGAAAGCCTGGGCAAGATTTACTTGCAACTTATGAAACCAATACTGGAAAGACAGAAAAGAGTTTGCTGTCAATAGTTACATAACAACATGGCTTCCAACTGCAGTATTCACTGTGATCTCTAATACAAGTGCAACTATTTCAGCTCAGGCTGAGGAATCCATTGGCTTTTTAAAGGCATTGCTGTCGTGTGGCTCATGAAGATGTCCAACTGTTTCTGTCCTGCCTACCTAAGACCCTAATTTCTGGCCCTTCAGTTTTCCTTTCCCTACTTTTATTTTGCATTTTGAACATTCCCTTTGGTCACAATATTTACTGCACCAGAGTGAACTCCTTTTTAAATTAAAGCTCTTCTGTTGAGACCCACCTTGCAACCCTTTTGAAAAATACGTTAGCTAATGCATACTGCTGTCCACACAGCTCTCATTGACAACACAGAGTCACAGAATTAAATGGGTTTGAAGAGACCTCTGAGATCATCAAGTCCAACCCTCGATCCAACCCCACTGTGATTACCAGATCATGGCACTCAGTGCCACATCCAGCCTCATCTTAAAAACTTCCAGGGATGGTGAATCCACCACCTCTCTGGGCAGGCCATTCCAATGCCTGATCACTCTCTCTGTAAAGAACTTCTTTCTAATATCCAACCTAAACCTCCCCTGGCAGAGCTTCAGCCCGTGCCCTCTTGTCCTACTGCTGATTGCCTGGGAGAAGAGACTGACCCCCATCTGGCTACAACCTCCTTTCAGGGAGTTGTAGAGAGTGATGAGGTCTCCCCTGAGCCTCCTCTTCTCCAGACTAAACAACCCCAACTCCCTCAGCCTCTCCTTACAGGACTTGTGCTGAAGTCCCTTCACCAGCCTTGTTGTTCTTCTCTGGACCTGCTCCAGCACCTCAATGTCTTTCCTGAACTGAGGGGCCCAGAACTGGACACAGCACTCCAGGTGTGGCCTCACCAGTGCTGAGTTCAGAGGAAGGATCACTTCCCTGCTCCTGCTGGCCACACTGTTCCTGATCCAGGCCAGGATGCCATTGGCCTTCTTGGCCACCTGGGCACACTGCTGGCTCATGTTCAGCCTCCTGTCAATCAGCACCCCAGATCCCTTTCCACCTGGCTGCTCTCCAGCCACTCTGTGCCCAGCCTGTAGCGCTGCAGGGGTTGTTGTGGCCAAAGTGCAGGACCCTGCACTTGGCCTTGTTGAACCTCATCCCGTTGGAGTCAGCCCAACTCTCCAGCCTATCCAGGTCCCTCTGTAGAGCCCTCCTGCCCTCCAGCACGTCGACACTCCCTCCCAGCTTGGTGTCATCTGCAAATTTGCTAATGGTGGACTCAATCCCCCCATCTAAATCATCAATAAAGATGTTAAACAGAACTGGGCCCAGCACTGATCCCTGGGGGACACCACTGGTGACCGGCCACCAGCTGGATGCAGCCCCAGCACTCACCAGCACTCTCTGGGCCCGGCCCTCCAGCCAGTTCTTAACCTGGCACAGAGTGCCCCTGTCCAAGCCGTGGGATTTTGCAATGCTAACATACAATGGCTCACAGGTGCATAAACTGTAGAGACCTAGGTAAATCAGGGAACACCACAGAGAATAAATAACCTCATGTCAGACAGGTCTGTCACAACTTTAGCTTCTGTCTTTAATATTCCCACTTGTTGAACCGTAGGAGGCTGAATGCAACAGCTCCAGCCACCAACTCTGCCTGCTTATAGAAGGCACAGCGCTCTTTAAAACCCAGGCTCAGCAACACGCTGGGGAATTCCTCTGCAAGGTTTCAAAGCCCCTGGGCCCTGACAATATCCACTTTATAAAAATGAAACCCAGAAGGAGGAAAAAGCAAGAGGGGCCAGGGAATTTTTTTTTCCCTGAAAGGCTGAGTTGCATCAGCTAGAGAGACAGGACAAAACTCTGCAGTGAAAAAGACCATCACAACTGAGCTTGTAAGGGCACCACTCATCTATTCATGCTAAAATGAAATGTTTCACCTACGGCTTTGTGTACTTTTGCCAATCAGGAGATGTTTGGATTCTTCTCCCAGCACAAAGTACTTGAACTCTGCTGCACAAGTACAACCCACCTTGCTGACAAGTGTGCACAGGGATGTAGGCTGGTTCATGGCATAGCCCAGCAGCTCTTTGCCCACTGCAAATGAGGCAGTTAGTGGGGCAGCAGAGGCAAATGGAGACTCTTATTTCTTCCAAAGATGAACAAGCTGGGACAGCACTTTCCAGTGCAGCTGTGTTTCTTGCCAATGCACAGAGGAGATCCCACTGATGGGGGGTTTCCCCTTCCTCAGGGAGGAGAGAGCCTGTTTCAGTCCTTTTCCTGTATAGCCACCTTCTTCCTTGGCAGGCTGTGATGGGAACAGGGCCAGCACTCAGACGTTTTCTTGCCCCTGACAACTCCCCAGAAAATGGAGAGCACCCACTGAAGCAGCTGCATCTTTCCTTGTTCACACAGGGCTTATCTATAAGGAGAAGCAGCTCAAAGCAGGAGGCTTTGCAAAGTAGATAATGTAAAAAAAATGGTGCCTTGCACTCCTCTGCACGTAAGCCCTGGACAGCACTCTCCCAACTGAGGTTCCATGACCTTACTTAAAGCTGGTCCATAAGCAGTGCCCAAATTAAAGGCTTTAGCTTCCTAGAGTGCTACTGTAACACTGCTATCCCATTAAAAGCACATTCAGATCCTAAGGAAAAGAGTCTACCTCCTCTGCCACAAACAGATGTCCAGCATCCCTCTCATTCCCTCTTTACACTGAGGCCGGTGTGCAGAGACCACCCTGCTACAGAAGCCTCACAGAGGGACTACTCCACCAGCATCTCAGCTTCTGGGCCATCTCTTTCTCTCATATGCTTTCCCTTACAAAATGCTCAAATAAAGCACAACTGCAAAAAGTTTCCAACTAAGCTCAGCATCAAAAGGAGGTAAGTCGCAGCTGCACCATTTAAAACCTGCAACAATGCAGCTCAACAGTCACAGAAAATGCAAAAATTTTTTATTCTTTTCTTGTGTACATACCCATACAGTATCACTGTTCTCAACAATGCTATTCCTGGCTTAATGAGATAAGCAGAGAACCAAGTGACCTGTTTTATCACGTGGTAGGACCAAAGTCTCTTGAGAAACCCGAATGCAGTCACATCTCACCCAGAGTATCAGGCAGAAACAGGAACATGGCTCTCAAATACAGGAAGAAGTTTGAAAACAGAGGTTGTCAACTTGTCTTTCACTTGGATGTTCTTCTCTCTGGTACTAGTTACTGCACCTTTGTAAGATGCACAAGGAGGGGTTTAGACATGGGTTACTTGTCTTCATGTTTTCAGGCTGAAAATATACTTTCTTCCAAATGCATTTTATCATGGCCATGACAAAATCCAGTTCTGTTGCTGTTAAGAAAGGGCTTTCTATATCTCCAGAGATCCCAAGAAGATGGTTTGAGTGTCTGGAGCAGCTCAGCCCATTTCAAGTAGCACAGCCCAAGGGAAAGGCTAGAGTTGAATTGAAGGAGACTGTGCTATCTGTTGAGCTGGCCTCCTTATCTGAGCACAGTTTTCACCTCTGAACTACTCCCAGTTTTCATGCCTGAAGCCTAAGGAGAAAGGTAAAAGTACACACACCTAGGAGAAAAGCGTATCATACATAAACAATTAAAGGGAAAAACCTTTGGTCCTTTTTTAACCATCAGAATGGCAAAAGCAAGACTCAAAACATTTAGCAGTGCAGCTTTTTATCAGGTAGTGTTTATTTCTGTTGCATGGAGCATTAACCTGTCATAATTATTTGTACAGCCACTCCTTCCTGCTGACTAGCTTCTTCACTCCAATGAATTATGCTTTCAGGTGCTTTAATAAATTCTGGAGGTGAACCAAACCATCAGAACCTTTTCAGACTCAAGGACCCCTAGGAGTCCCAACAAGCTCCAGAAAACATTCTTTAAAAGTCTGATTCCAGGACTTTCTACATCTCCTTTGCTTTCTGAACCAGCACATCAAACATCTGGCTCCCTGAGATTCAACAGATCAAACATTTGGCTCCTTAAAACATGCACTGACAAACATACATTCTGGGAAATCTTTAATTCTCAGTAGAGAGACAGATGATGTAAAAGGCATCTTTGCAGGCAGGACTGTCTCCTAAATGAGGGTACATAGCAAGGAGAAGAGAAATATGCTTGAAAACTGCCATATTCTAACAAACCCTACAATCCATAGCAGCAATTACAAGTCAGTGTCATGCAGAGCAGCCTCAAGGCTGCTCTAAACTGCACTACAGATGGAGAAGAGAAATGTAGGGAGCTTAAAATCCCCTCGAGCCAGGGCTCAGTATCATGCTCTTGACCATCAACACAAGATGTCTGCACCAAGACATCTGCTGCTGTGCTGAAACCAAAGGCTGCTCACAGAAATTTTCCCATGAACACCTCTAACAAGCAAAAAGAAAACTGGCCTTTTTTTTTAAGCAAGAATTAAAAAAAAACCCAAGCCTTTCTCTTCTAAAAGCCCCCACACAGAGAAAGAGGGAATCTACAGGATGGCCTGATCAGCATCATAACCAGATGATGCCAGATCTCAATCTGAAATTTTCAGTAGCTGCCACTAACTTACATCCACTGGTACCTCTGACCCCATACTATGTACAGGTGTCTAAAATCAGGGAACCCTCCCCACGAAGAACCCAAAGGAAGAATATAATTTCTCAGTAGCAACACAGCTTCGTTTTTCAGGAGCTATTTCATCACGATACAACAACTTAGCCACAACACTACGGTCCCATATCCTGTGTGCTGGGAGTACCTTGGAAGAAAGCAGAGTTTCACAGAGGTCCCATTTCCCGCTCCCCCACGCTACCAGGCGTTATAAAGCATCTTGAGAAGGTGTCATACCTGTAAGTGACGTGCACTGCAGTGCCAGGCTCATCTCTCTCCCAAATCAAAGCCACTCTGTTTGGAGACTTTTCAACGTGTTGATCCAAGCAATTTACTGTAAAAAAACCCAAAGGTTTAAACAAAGCCTAATCACGTGCAAGGTGCTCTGTATTAATTTGGTCAAGAGTAACAGCAAGTTAGTGCAAGAAGAAACGTCAGTTGTTATGTCAGCGGGCACACAGTCATGTAAAACAGATAGCATTTGCAGCTCTAGTAAAGCTGTACAACAAGTACCACACTTACTTGGCACAGCTGCCTTAGAGATGGCATCCCCATGAGAGGCCATCACTGATTCAGCTCAGCTTAGCTCCACTGGCTACGCTTAAGCCAGCCCAAATGTTTCCCCTGCTCACAACAGCACAAAGCCAAGACACACTTTTGATGTTTGTGCCCCCAGAGCAGTATTTCACTACACAAATATGACAGACTGTCTTCCCCAGCTTGCACGTTTAGCACTGCACCATTTGGATTTTCTAACAAACCTCGCGTGAAACATTTTTTCCAGGGTATAAGAGAAGAGCTGAATCGCAACTAAATGAAAATATCTAAAACTGGAGGATCTAGGCCAAACTCAGAGTACATGCATCTACAAATTACCAGACACTTGGGAAAGATTAACGCGTCTCAAGCCACGTACTACATCTACTAAAACCTGAAGATATAAAATTACCTTTTAAAGGCACATCTCTCCCCCTCAACAGCTTGAGGTAGGGGACTTAGGGAGAGCACTCAACCTGAAGAAATTTAGAGAATCCACACAAGAAATCCGCCTGCATGTCCAGTAGCAAGTTGCCTGATGGTTAGAGAGCATCCTTGTAAAGTATTAATTCCAAGCCTATACGACACTTGCTAATTGCATTGTAATCTTTCAAAGGCAAGTTACTTTATTTCAATAGACAACTACTAAATAGAAGTCAGGGACACTGCCACATAACTCGGAGAAAACCCTTTTAAAAATTGCTCAGTTTCAGACCATATTTCCTGGAAATATTAATACTGGTCGGAAAGGATTTCATTTTTCCAGATAAATTAAGTGCCACTAAAGCTGTGTACTGCAGCAAGGGAGTCAGCTTCAGCTTTTCTGCGATCACACCACCACGTGGAGGGTAGGAATGAGCCCATAAAGGTGCACAGAGAAAGAAATCTCTCAGAATTCAACACATTTCATTACAAGTTCAAGTGTCAATCTCAAAAATTTGCAAAAGCATTCTTCTGACATCTAAAATCTTTTATTTTTAATGTAAAATCCTGCAGCAATACAATAAAAAGGAAATAAAGCCATTTCTTAAACCACCCTAAGACAAGAGGACAAAAGCTCTAACGGGGAATGCTTTAAGCAGTTACACACTGGTTTCCTCTACTCCCCATCCGTAGCTAATTGGATCTGCTGTGGCTTAGTCCACAACACACTGCAACTTCTCCCTCCAAGCTCCTTGCAGCAACACCCTCACATATTGCACCATGCTACGGTAAATCACGTTAAGGGGTATTCATTGCCCAAGCAGCATTTCTTACTCATGAGCAGCCACACAGGCCTTCAGAGGGAATTTCTGCTGCAGAAATTCCCAGCTGAGCCAAGTGAGAGCTTTAGCTCTGTGCTCAGTAAGAACCAGCAGGTGAACCAGAGCCAAATGCTATTATTTCCTTCCTGATCTTAGGCTTACAAGAGCCTTTGCTCATTTTACAAAATAGAATTTAGTGGCCTTCCCCTTGCTACTATATCCTAGTGGTTTCTCCGTATGTTGCTTCCTTGGCAACACTCAGAAACAATTCCTTTCAGTAAGACGTGCTTCCAAGAATGTGTTCTGGCTGGAAACGCAGTAGTTTGCCAGATTATTCTCCTGCCCAGGAGTTACAGTGCAATAAATCCAGAAGCACTGAAGCTCACAGGTCCCCCAAATCCTATCGCAAGGTCCCTCGAGAAAAGTATCAGAGGACTGTGCTGGGAGGTGGGCACACAAGATATTCTAGGGACCTGAACTATTGCCATGTTCCTGTACCCAGTGTTCAAACTGAGATGAAGGGAGCCTCCTAACAGAAAAACAGTCACTTGGCTGTGCCCGAGTACCATCTTCATCATGCTTGAAAAGAAAACCAGGAATAGCAAACCTGCTTAAGTCTGTGCATCTGTTTTGAAGGTCTATGATTTCTTTCTACGTATGCAAAGAAAACTACATGGCATTTAGTTCTTCATCTCTACTGAAGAACCAGACCCAAGGCATGATCTATAATCTGCACTTCAGAGATCTGACATGGGATCCAGGAGAGGGTGTTGATCTCACTCCACAGAGGAAAGAAAAAGATCCCTGAAAGTCTGTGCTCAGATAGGATCTTTCTTTCAAGATGAATTAATGAAAACAAAAGCCTGCCTAAAATCCTCTGACTGCTGGGTGCCAGCAGTAGGGCTATACACACATCTCCATAAACTTGGGATCCACTGCTGGGAATCATCTCCTGGGAGCAGATGCTCCCATATGTTTTCTGGAAGACCTGAGGAGGGTTTCATCTTTTACTGTGAACAAAAGGTGGCCAGAGACGTCTCACAGTTACTGCACTACTGAACCGGTAGTGCTGATTCAGGCACTCTCACAGGAACGGGAAATGAAGGTCAGAAGCGAAGATCCCTGTTAAAAAGATTTCACCACTGAGTTGTACCCTAGATGGGACTGGGGCTCATTCCCACTGGGCATGGCCACGTCACAGAAGAGACTTCAAGGCAGATATAGCCAGGATGAAACTCGAGGGCAGTGAGGTCAGCCATGGAGAATTTTACTCGTGCTTCACGCTAAGTGGTGAACTTGGAGGAAAAGAACAAGGTACTCGTTCAAAAGAGAAAAAACCTTGCTGCTTCCTCCTCAAAAGACTGGGATTCGCACCGTTCGCCACCTGTGGATCATCTTAAGCCACCACGGGAAGCCGAAGGCGGCACAGCCGAAGCTGGGGCATCTCTGCCGGCACGGCAACGGGGGTGCGGCCGGATCTCCGCAGACCGGAGAGCAAGAGGCTTAGCCGGGTTTAATCCCGGCTTCGGATTTTCTCCCCGCTTCCAACATTTTGCAACTCCCTGCTGGTTTCCTCCCAGTGCCGCCCAACCGAATTCCTCGTTTCCCCCAACAGAGCGGCGCTGGCGAAACCCGGCCCTCGGGACGGCTCCCGGGCAGCCCGACGGCGGCAGCGGGCGGTGCCGCGGGGCGCGGGGGGGACGCCTTACCCGAGACGTTGAGGCGGCCCCCGAGGAACCAGCGGGCTGTGCCGGCGGGCGGGCCGGGCTGGCAGGCCGTGTGGAAAGGGCTGTCCCAGCGCAGCCACCCCCGCGCCACGTCCCCCCAAAACCCGGCGGGGTCGCGGGCTGCCTGCTCCTGCCAGGCCCGGTACCCTCCGGGTGGCAGCGCACCGGGGGCTCCCGCCTCGCTGCAGCGGCGCCGGGCCGACACCGGGACCCGTCCCAGAGGGTGCGGGGGGCTGAGGGCACGCAGCGCCCGCGCTCGGGCGGCCGCCAGCGCCATGGGCTCAGCCCTGCGCCGTCGTCGGGGCCGCGCCGCGCCCGGCCCGGAACAGCCCCGGCCCGCCGGGAGGGGCGCGAGACCGCCTGAGGGGAGGGGCTGCCCCGGCCGGGCGGCCCCGGGAGCGCCGCACTCGGGACACCCCGCACAGCCCGGAGCACCGCACAGCCCGGAGCACCTCACCCCCGGGAGCACCTCACCCCCGGGGACACCCCGCACTCGGGACACCCCACACTGCCGGGAGCACCGCACCCCCGGGGACACCCCGCACTCGGGACACCCCGCACAGCCCGGAGCACCGCACCCCCGGGAGTACCTCACCCCCGGGGACACCCCCCACCCGGGGATACCCCGCACAGCCTGGAGCACCGCACCCCCGGGAGTACCTCACCCCCGGGGACACCCCGCGCTCGGGACACCCCGCACAGCCCGGAGCACCTCACCCCCGGGGACACCCCCCACCCGGGGATACCCCGCACCCGGGACACCCCGCACAGCCCGGAGCACCGCACCCCCGGGGACACCCCCCACCCGGGGATACCCCGCACAGCCCGGAGCACCGCACAGCCCGGAGCACCGCACCCCCGGGGATACCCCGCACTCGGGGATACCCCGCACAGCCCGGAGCACCGCACCCCCGGGGACACCCCGCACTCGGGACACCCCGCACAGCCCGGAGCACCGCACCCCCGGGGACACCCCGCACCCGGGGATACCCCGCACTGCCGGGAGCACCTCGGACACCCCGCACCCGGGGACACCCTGTAGGCATATGGGCCCTCATACACCACCAAACCCTCTAAGGGGTGTCAAACCCTCTAAGTGGGTACACGTTCACTTTTTGCTTGGTAGCCCTGCGAGCACCGTCGTTACCACAACGTGGAGCTCATAGTTTTGGTTATCGCTCCTTCCTCCATATTAGCCTAAGGACCAGGTTTAACCCGTACTTCGTGATATAAACCCTCAACAATGAGTAGCGAGGTCTTAGAGCAGGTAACACAAAGCTTGTTCTCTCTGCATAGCAGAAACATGCCCTTTGCTGGCATGAAGAAGCTAATTCTCTTAGGCAGTTTTGGTCCAGCCTCCCAGCACGGAGTTTGAAAACTCCTATTAGAGGGGCAAGGTGTGGGCATCCTTTAGAAGTGCCAAACCTCCTGAGCACCAACTCTACTCACTCCCAGAGTCTGGGTAGACAAAACACGTCATCTTCAAGATTAAAAACCTGAAATTACTCTTTATGCCATGAAGCTTTTTCTGGCAGTGGTAGCGACAAATAGTGTTTTCTATGACTTTTTTTCTCTCCCTGTTCTAGAAATATCACCAGATACTTTATCAGTTAAATAATACAGATTTTACCAGGATTTGGTTTTCTGGCACTTCTACACTTTCCATCTGTGTTTTATACGTAACAAACAAGAATAAATACACTCTTCCTGGTAAAGCTGGCATTAGTGCATTGCTGCTGTAGTTCGATATACCTTCCTTGTGTTTTGAATACCAGTTTGGCTTCGCACAAGTCTTAAGTTCCAAGCAGCAGCACGTGTGCCACCTGGTGCCAGACAGGAGCGTGGAGAGCACTTCAGCTTTCACTTGGTTTGCCTAAGGATTACTCAAAAGTTTTCTGTCAAAAACAACCTACCGGCAAATTCCACTCCTTTCAGGATTTCAGAGGAAAGCTTTACACAAAACAAGCAAACGAGTTGTCGAAAAAATAAAGCATGAATTTAAATTCTTTGGCCTTAAACTCAATCTGCTTCATTTGCAGACCTTGAAATTCTCTGAGAATGGTGCCCTTCTCTGGTTTTCTTCCACATAAGGCTGATTTTCCTTTTCCACTACCAAGTTTTATTTTACTCATGATTCATTGTAAATCCCCCACCCTCAAATTTTGACTTTTTCCTCAAAGAAGGCCATGGCCAGCAGCAACACAAATCCAGCCTGGAGGCCACCTGATCACTCTGTTCAACTGGGTTGCTGAGCAGAACAAGCACAACCCCAAAACTCCTTTCTTGCCTCCAAAAGAGCTGAGGAGAAGGGAAAAGTCCTTGAGATTTTGCAGTGCCTACTTATCCTAGCTATGGCATTCCGGCAGTGAAGGCTGGTATCAGGCTGTTGACTTGTTGAGAACAAAGGAGTGTTACAGCAGTTCTCATTCTTAAGTTTGTAACTTGAGCATGCCAGGAAAGGCTGGTGCTGGATAAAACACAGGCTATAGAATTGCTTCCTGCATTCATTGTGTCTACATTCTTAGGGTCCTCCTGGCATTACGGAGTCCAAACAGCAACAGTGGTGGTACCAGCTCTGGAGAAGTCCAGTTACTGTTATCTGAAAATGCCACCTCTCTGTAGCAGCTCCCAAAGGCTTATGGCTGCCAAGGCAGAAGTCATTCCCTGCTGCAGCCAAGTCCCCTGGCACAATCTCCGAGACCAGCCAGGCAACCCCACTGCCTTGTAAAACATTTTAGCAGGAAACAGGGTCCATGACTGCTACTTGGTAATCACTGTTATGGTCCTAACTGTTCTTTCCAATGGTCTTCCCACATGGTGTGCACACAGTTGATACCTGACTCCACAAAGAAAGTCAGGGTCAGGCAAAAACACCACTATAGAGCTAGGTATACAGAGGTTTGTGTTAGAAATTCTCCCAAGTCACAATTAACCAAGATTTCAATAAAATCTTTTGATCATTTTTTTAGCTACATTTGTGCCTGCAGATGAAATAAGACATGTTGCCAGGTGGCTGTTCCAGCAGGTTTCTGAACCCATTCAGCTCTATCTGCATAAGAGCAGATTGAGAGGGAGGAAAACCAGGGATGAAATAAAGCTAAAATGCAGTTGTTTCACTTTAACTCGGTGGCACAGATCAGCATCGACCTTGGGTCCAAAACAACAGGAACTACAGCAGGTTTGAAGGAGCAGAGTACTTGAGCTAGTCTGGGGTCTTTGCCAGATCTGCTCACATCTGTTTCTAACATTATTGCATCATCTAGAAAACATCTAACTCATGAGATTGAGCACTGTTTCCCTCACACTGGCTTCAAGGCTTGCATTTGCTGTACACAGTATAAACAACATTTAAAAGTGTAAAAAAAGTAATTAACAAAAATGCCTTTCTTCCCCAAGAATGTTTCAAGATGCATGATATAAATTCATGATGGGGCTGGTGGAGACCCAGTGCCCAGCTGAGCACAGAGGCAGATGCAGCACGTGGTGCCTCCCAGGACCAAGGTGCAGAACCAGCCCTGCACCAAGAAGCAGGAGAGTGCAAGTACCTGCTGTGCAAGGTCTGTCTGCAGTGCATGGCACAGGGTATGGCTGCCACAAACAGTGGTGCTGCATGGTGCAGGAGCACCCACAGTGTTGGTCATAGAGGTGTCTGGTGCCACTCCAGGCTGTCTGTCCAGAGTCCACAGACATCATTTCATGTTTGACAACAAAGAATTGATGCCTCAGTGGCACTTCTTAGAGTCCAATACCTAGAGCAGTGTTGGCTTCCCTTTCCTCTGGAGACTCCTTGCCACCACTGGGACGATATGGTGGTCAGTAGCAAGAGATCACTGCTTTTCCTGGGTATGCTTCCCTGCTAATGCTCATAGTCTCCATTGTACCTGTCATTTGTCTGGTCAGGCCATCAGCTGTCCCATCTGCAGAGTCTTCTGCTCAAGTCTGGATTTCAAACCAAGAGGATTCAGTTGCTTATACTGAACTTCCTCAACCCTGATCTTCCCTCCCCATTGGCTCCTGAACCAGAAGTCTGCACTGGTTTTGCTATTTGCTTTGTTCCAAAAAGTCCTTGTTGATGAATCTCCACATTACATTGACTTCCTCTTGGACAGTACTTGGGGCTGCCCAACCTGAGGGTGGACTGAAGGCTCCAGCATCAAACCCTTCCATCCCTTCTAGCTTGGTACTGATGTTCTGAGCTCAGTGCTTACATACATCAGAGACCCTCTCATGGGCTGTTGCCTAGTGGAAATAACTAAAGAGGTTAGGAAACCTCCAGTTATCACTTGACCTCCACTTCAGCTCATAAACTGGCATTGCCTTCTCCTTTCAATTAAGATCAGAGACACAGGTTGCAACATAAATGTGATTGAAAGAAAAACCACTTTCCAAGGAGAGGAGTGGAGGGACACAGGTAGTGTAGAGTGAAGTCTCTTCAACCCTCTTCCAAAACAGGCCTGGACAAGTCCCTGTCCTAATTATGTAGTTAGCTCTGCCACCAAGGCAAGGCTTTCCCCAGCTGGGCTGCAGTGGTGGCAGAAAGGTTCAACCAAAAGCTCAAGTCACAGGCAAGTTTGTGGTGATGAGAAAGATGTGAAATCAAGCCAAGTAGTCAATTAGTGGATCGGGTAGCCTGGCTCAGACACTTACCAGTGATTCCTAGACAGGCCATAATGACAAGACAGTTTCAAGGTCAATCCAGGACGTCTATCCACAGGTCCAGATCCATGGGCAGGTACAGCTATGGCTGAGCTGGAGATCAGTACAGCATTTCTCAAGCAGGGACTGAAGACTAAAGAGAAATGGAGCTCATGGGTAGGGTGTGGGCAGAGCTCTTAGTGAGGCTGGTAAGGGCCATTAAGGGCTATTAGTGCACTCGGGACCATGATAGTCTCTTTCAATCCAACTCTGCTGCTGGGTCTGTTCTTGGTGCTCCACCACCACAGAGATCTGAAGGGCAACCAAGAGGCATGTTAAGATGGCCTTTTGGGGGAGGACAGCTCCTGTGCCTTCTTTTGTTTTGCCTGCTTCCCTTGCTTCTCAGCCCCAGGAACATATGCCAGTGCTTGGGAATACAAGTGATGGGGTCTTGACTTGCAGCACAGAGAGCTCACATAGCAACTGCCAATCATCTCTCAATCACACACCTGGAATGACAAGCACCTGGACATGAGGGTGCAGCTGCCTGTGAAGGGTTGTGTTACACCCTGGGACCTGCTGGATGAGCTGCTACAGGGCTGGAGATTCCCTGGTCTCTGCAGAATGCTTCCACTAAGCAAGCCCTCAATCCAAGAGGCCCAGGGCCACCTCCAGCCAGTGCAGGAACATCGCGGGGGCCTGGAAGCCCCGTTCTCCCTGGTCTGAGTGGCTGGGGTTGGCCACGGTTGTGGTGGATCTGCCTTTACACAAGCACGCCCACGGCTATGTCAATCTTCACAACATATCCCCTCGGTTACCACCCTGGCCACAAGGGACTGCTTTGGTGGGGGGAAGAGTCCTGGTTAGGAGATAGGTCCCACAAGGTATCAGGGAGCACTGCAGCCCTGTGGAAGCTGGTGTGACATCTCACGCGTGAGATCAGATGGGAACTTCCATCTGCGGATCAACATCAGGTTGGGTCACTCTGGTAGGGACAGGGAAAAGAACACTAGTGTGTTGCAAGTCTTCAGGGAGAGTCTAGGAGCAGTATCCCTTGCTGTCTGTTTTGTGCACGGGCCGTGCACATCCACAGTTTGGGGCATAGGTATGATGGACCTCATACTGGGAATGCAGGTGATTTGCCACACACATAAGGCTTGAAATGGAACAGGAAAGCACAGCCACGCGCACGGCACAGCATATGCTTCAAGTACACCATGAGTGGCAGCGAGCTGGAGCATGGAGAATGGCACATCTCCCGAGCAGGGGGCACCTCTGGAGCTGTGCATCTCAAGGTGGGGGAACAGAGACAGGCACACTGCTCGGCTGCATGCAGGGAGAGGCTCACTTGTGTGAGCCGTTCCTCTGTGTGGTGAAGTTTTGTAGCGCTGCTGCTGTACCCAGCTGTGAGCTGTTGGACCTGTTCCCAGACCTGGTAGGACAAGGTCTGGCCCAGTGCAGATGGAGAACAGTGCTGATCCTGATGGTGCAGTGTCCGGGCCAATGCTGGTAGTGCTGGTCCTGATCCCAGTACTGTGTCCAGCCCAGACCATGGTGGTGTTGCTATTTGTGGTGCACTGTAGTGCAACCAGTCCCTTGCTGGCCCTGGCCCCAGAGCACTGGGGTAAAAAGCTGCAGACCAGCAATGCTATGGCTGACCCCACCAGTCTCAGTGCAATGCAGCCCAGCTCCAGGGAGATATGCTGACTCTGGCCTTGGTCCCAAAAGTGCAGTCAACCGGCTCTGTGCAGATAGTGCCAGTGCTGATCCCAGTCCCCAGGCAATGCAGTGTCCAGGGGCACGCTGGTGATGCCAGTGCTGATCCCAGCAGTGCAGAGACGAGCACCAGTCTTCGCCCTGGCAGGGCCCGTGACCTCGCCGGCGGTGCCGGTGCAGTTCCTGATTCTAGGGCGGGGCAGCGCCGAGCAGGTCCCGTTCCCGGTCCCAGGGCTGGGCACGGCCCCGTACCACACCGGTGCGCTGCCCAGCACCCGGTGTCCCGGCGCGCTGCAATGCCCAGCCCCTTGTGCTGCCAGCGCGGTGCCCGACGCCGGCTGCCGGAGGTGGCGGGGCGGGCCCGGGGCGGGCCCGGCCGGGCGGGGGCGGCCCGCGGGTGATGTCAGGCTGATGCTGTCGGTGCGGCGCGCGGTGCATTGTGGGCGAATCCCGCCGCCCGCCGCGGCTCCGAGGGGGAGGATGCGCCCGGGGCCGGCCCGTCCCACAGCCGCAGCCGCAGCGCACCGGGCCGGCGGCACCGCGCCCGACGAGCCGCACTGAGGGGCGCGGGGCATGGGCTGCCTGCGCAGGCCGCAGCGGAAGGCGCCGGCGGCGGCGGGGCCAGGTGAGCCGGGCCGAGCCGGGCCGCAGCAGGCACGGGCGGGGGGAGGAGGGAGGGAGGGCCCGTCCCGCCGGCGGCCGGAGCAGCGGGGCCGAGACCGCACCGGGCCGGGCAGCGCCGCGGCTGCGCGCGGGGCACTGTGTGAGATGTAGTTCATCGCCCCACCCGGCGTCTCTGGCGAAGGGAGAGGGTCCGGCATGCGGGACTCGCGTTCCCAGCGTGCCCGCGGGGCGGGGCGGGCCAGAAGCGGAGTGACGGGCTGGTGCCGCCAATGAGAAGGCGGGCAGGGCGGGGCGAACCATCTGTCGAGAGGGGCGGTGTGCCGGCAGCTGCAGTGCAGGGGCGGACGCGGCCACTTCCTCGGCGGGGGGAGGCGGGATGGCCCGAGGTGAGGGCAGGGCGGGGTCCGGGGCGGTGGCCGCCCCTCACCGCTGTCTCTCAGCGCCGCCACTCACCGCTGCCCTTCACCGCTGCCCTTCACCTCTGCCCCTCACCGCCTCCCCTCACCGCCGCCCGCTGCCCGGCCCGGGGGTCCCGCGCTACCCGGGGGTCCCGCGGTGCGGGCGGGCCGTGCCCTCGCTGCGCCGTGCGGGGCCGGAGCGGGGGCACCTGAGAGGCTCTGCCGGGGGGAGCGGCCCCGCCGGGTGGTGCCGGGCGGGGGCCGAGTAGCGAGGGCACCCGCGGCCTTGTGCCGGGCCGGGCTCCGGGGAAACCCACGGGGGGTGTCAGCCACCTCGGGGGGGCAGGTGCCGCCCGAGGCTTTGCACGGCGTCCTTCCCGGGGCCACAGCGTGCCCGCTCAGCTGCATGTGGAAAGCCAGACCGTTCCGTAGAGGTCTCTGGGGAGGGAGCGTTTCCATCGCGTTACGCTGGGATAACTCCCTGGTGCTCGGGGTTGAGGCAGGAAGGATGAGTTTCTCCTCTGTCGCGGGGTGGGACGTGATGCTCTTCTGTGTGGTCTCCGTGTCTGCTGCAGCCTTGGGGCTCGAAGGCTCCTGCCATTGTGTCCTCGCTGCTCGTGGCACCCAAGCTGGCATCGCTGAATGTGTCCTGAGGCATTCTGCTTTCCCTGCATTCTGGCAGAGAAGGTATCCGGTAACCTGGGTCGGACCCACTGAGAACTCTCAAGATGAACACCATGACCTTGAAGTGCATCTTGTATTTAACAGGAAACCAGAATGCTGTATGAAGTGATGGAGTGACATTGCTGCTCCGACAGTGCTGCTGAGCTATTTGCATGCCAAGTTCAAAGCCCACTGTGATTCCTGGGGGGTAGCAACTTCAAAACCTGTTGGTATCATGTTTCTGAACATTCCAAACCAGCTCTGTATTAATACCTTTTTTCTATATTTTTGAATTTCCTTAGGCTTGCAAGGAGGGAGTACAGATGATTTGATTGATAGAAGGAAAAGCTTTCTAATTTTACCATTTCATGTGGATTTCTTTACATTCCTTTTACTGTCACTGAAAATGCTGCCTTTCAGGAACAAACTTCTCACTGAGTCACAACAGAGATTTTGAGCCCGAGGCCTTTTTATGAGTGAAATTTAACCTCATGTTGTGTGTGCAGCAGGATGTGCTAATGCTCCCACAGCATTAATGCTTGTAGGTGCTGTGCCTGTAGAGGTGCTCTGACTACAGAGTGTCAGGACTGTCTCACTGCAAGTTACTCACCACATTTCAGTGTGTCCCCTTCCTTTGAGACCCTCTCTCGGTATAAGAGAGGTAGAACACGAACGATGTGTTAATGTTTTGGCTTTTTTTCCTTTGTGTGCCAGTGATCATTCAGCTCATAAGAACCATCCTCATGCTGACGTGTGTGGGATAAGAAACTTTGGAGATGCAGTGCTTATGAATGGTGTACGTGTTTCCACTGCTGTTACTTTTGGGTTCTGTGTGCTTTTGTATGCTTTATGATAATCTCATTCCTTAAGGAATAGGCAAAATTCCTCTTCTCTGACTGGCAAAGAAAACCACTGAAATTCCCTTGTAGGACACTTTTATCAGGTATCAGTCTTGAGGACACCTGCCTAGCCTTTTTTTCTTGGAATAGTCGTCAAGAGGAAAGTCAGATCCCCATCAATACTCTCGGTCCTCCAGAAAGAAGTGTCTGTGGTGTTAAGAAATCTATTTCATCTGCCCCCAGGGTTGATGCTATAAAGTGGTGCTAGTGGCCCATGTGTGGATTTCCTTCCTCTTCCCTCTCCACCCCAACCCTAATGTTAATTAGTGAAGGCAGCACAGAGCTCTTCTCCAACGGAAGCAATTGTTACATGTGCAGGGTCCAGAAAAACACTTTGGGAATGGCTCTTTGTCCTGGGGAGCTCCTAGATGGGATTTGTTTTCCTGAGCTCCACAGCGACCTCTCGGTAACATCGATTCACTCTGAAAACAGAGCAGGGCACAGAAGTAGGGCCGAATAGGGCAATAAGGGCTTATAAAGTCCTCAAGGGCTTTCTAAACAGTTCCCTTGTTTTTAAGGGTGTATTGGCTTTCTTGGTATCTTCTACTTTGAATGCTGGAAGGCACAGCCCCATATTTTCTGGAGGGATTGTCGAAGCATTTGCTAAAAGGCTGGTTTAGCTCTGCTAGTTTACTGAACAAGATACAGAATGGACATGACTCCTGTCAAAAATAACCAAAAAAGTGGGTATTCCTCTGAAACTTTATGAAATCCCCTTACATGTCATTGTGGGACACTGTTCAATTGGAATAAATGTTAAGATTGCTTTGGGAGGGAGGGATAAGGAAGGCCAGCTATGAGGCCTCTCTCCCTAGGGCAGAAAAAGAATGGGACAATCTGTTGGATATTTGTTGAAGCACTAAGGAGGAGAGGTGGGAGGTGAGGGAAATGATGTGATTTTTACACCGTGTGTCTGAACCCAAATTGAGATTCCCTTGCCTGTAGCAGTCTCCTCAGCCACAAACTGGATAGTGTTGTTCAGGCCAACTCTTGGTCTTCTCTGCAACAGTGCCGACATACAGGCTGTGTATCACATTGTTGAGACCCATGACAGTTATCCCAGAAAATATGGAAAATAATATATCAATAATAATGTGACTTGGAACTCAATGTGTCAATTGTTTTTTTCACATAAACTTTTCTGGTTTTTTGGAGACCAGCAGATACAGCAATAGAGTTGATGGGGAAAAATAAAACTGCTACAGTAGCTTTTTTCATCAGATTTACAATCCCTTAATCCCTTTTGGTCTTACCCAGTTCTGCGCTGTTTTCCATTAGGCCTTCTCCACTACTCGAGCTGCATACACAGGAAAGGATCTTTTCTGTAGCTGAGAAGGAAGATGTTGACAGCGTGATGGACTGTAGATCTAATCAAATAAGATGTGTTTGGAAACCCTTTCCTTTTGGTGTCAGGCTGTGTCATCTTTTATTGGGTGAACAATATGAAAGGAACAAACTGTGGATCATGGGCTGACTCAAGCCGGATGGGTACAACGGGGAGCAGAGAGAATGCCTGTGGGTGCAGCTTTCCTCTTTGAAGAACTGGGGCATCCCAGCCTTATGAAAGAGATCTTATGACAGATGGAAGTGGACTCCTCAGTGTCTGTGCAACAGTGGATGTTCTGAGGCTCACGGTCAGCCCAGAGGCTCTCTGTGTTGAAAGGTTTGGTGGCCTACCAGTTGAGTCTGAAAAGACTGCAGAAGGATAAGGAGACTTTGATGTCTAGTGAAAAGGTTTTGATTATAGGATCATAAATTCAACTGCTGAGGCCAAACTCTGGATTGCTCCAGTCCTTTCCCTACCAGTGACCAAGAGATGATGCTTAAGGAAAGACATGTACAACATGTTTGCCCTACTTACGCCCTTCTTGGTGTTGCAGTCTGCAGTTTTTCAGCCTTTTTGTTTGCTGGCCTGAATAATTTTCTATATACACAAGCTGTGTCATTTCACTGGTAACAGCACTCTCTTGGGAAACCTAGCTCTGCATTCTTATGTGTTTTCCTCTCTTTTAGCTAGTTACTAGTTCTAGAGAAACTTTATTTTAATCACGGGACATCTTAATTTTCAAGGCCTTTGGTCTCATACCACACCTGTCCAGAAACATTGTTATTAGTGAGATGGATGTATCTGTGTGCTCACTGAGTCTTCCTGAAAGCACCCAGCCTATTCTAACAGGTTTGTAAATCAGGACTTCTCCCCTCTGCCAGCCACTTAGTTTACTTTTTAATTTTCAGTTTTCTAAACGTATCTGTTGTGGAAGAGTCTGATTTTCCAGATCCTCTGCAGAGCTCTTTAAACTAAACAGCAAGCAAAAATCCTTGGCATCTTCTTTCTTATCTTTCCTCTAATCAATCTTTCTTATCTGTTCATTGCAGACAGGATTTTAAGATTGCCTAACCAGGAACCTGAAGTTGTGGATCCAGGATCAGTGTCTGTTTTTAAGATTTATGGGGGAAGGAATGTAGGTGATGTGGTGTAACAGTGCTATCATTGATTCTCCACCTTCATTCATTAGCATCTAAAATGCGACTTTCGGTGTTGCTGTTGCTGTTTTTCTGCTTTTAGTAAAATTTGCAGTACCTAAAGCATGCCTTCTTAAAGGTGCCCCACCTTGGTCTGAAAAGAGCAAGAGATCTGGAATTCATCATCTCCCTTATTCTAGGTCCTGTCCTTAAAGAAAACACTCATGAAAAGCTAATTTGCAGTTGTCAGGCTGCAGCTTCTGGCAGAAGATGAGCTAGAATGGCAGAGCCCTTCTGTATCTTAAATTTTCATCATAGGGAGATACTTCTACACTACATTCCCTGGCTTTTCGGTGTTTCTTTTGGCTAAGATACGTTCATTTTAAAGAGTTACGTTTTCAGGTGGCTGGAAGGCACCTTTCAACCTTTTCTGTGTTCCAGAATTTTTAGTGACCATGAGACATGGATGCTGGCCCTTTATCGGACTACTGTCTCTCAGTAGTAGGCAAGGACAAAATTGCCTCCCTTTTTTTTGTTTTTCTCTCTGCAGCAATGCCCTGCTCTGTATGCATGACCTG